CTGCTTTCTTCTCTCCTCCATCCTTTGCTTCGACCTTTGCTTCTTCCCTTGCTTCATCATCTTTATCCTTTGCTTCCTCCTCTCCTCCTTCCTTTGCTTCTGCCTCTGCTTTCTCCTCTCCTCCTTCCGTTGCTTCGTCCTTTGCTTCCTCCTCTGCTTCCTCCTCTCCTTCTCCATTTGCTTCATCGTTTGCATCCTCCTCTCCTTCTTCTTCTTCTTCTAATTCAGTTGCTTCCTCCTCTGATCCCTCCTCTGCACACTCCTCTTCTTCCTTCTCCTCTGCCTTCTCTTCGTCACCTTCTGCCACTACAGTCTCAGGCATTGGAAGTGTCTCAGCTTCATCCATAGTGTTGCCTTTTGTGCGTCGCAATTTATCCTGGATCGGTCGCGTTGAAGTCAGTTGGAAAATGTTGGAAACATTTTGCTTTTGCATTGGAGAAATCGAATCCATGATCGTGATAGGGTTTTTGGATCAACATCATTCATTCATTGTGTCATTGGTCTTCAACACACATGAAAAATTAGGTTTGGGAACGGCTGGGCTCCTCCTGATTTTTGGGCTTTGGTCCCCTTGTAGCTTTCTTCTTTCCAGAAGCGGTGAGCAGTCCACAAGCCTTGCGCAGCGCATGTAAAAAATATACTGTAATTGGAATAGTCATGAGTAATCTACCATTGGTGCATGTGCGTGTGTGCATGCATGAGAGCTCAGAGAATATGCTGTCGAACGGTCGAACACCTAGCCTGCAGCTTTGCTTTGATAATGGCCTTGATCTTCGCCATGCCATCGCGCCCACCCCTGAGCTAGATCGACAAAAACAACTTTGTTGCGCGATACCGAATGGAGCAGTCAAATCTATAGCTCAGCTCATGATTTCAAGAAGAGCATATAGATTGAGTAAAGTCACCGCGTGCTGGAAGCCCGCTGAAATCTCGTCATGCAGTAGGATATCAGACCGCGTTGAACACCAGATTCGATGGCAGCCCAAGCCTTATCAAAGTTATAAATATTAAATACGTACGAGGTTTATGAAAAATGATCAACATGTCCCACAAAACAAGGATCAACAACTGACACGGTGCCCGCAATTGGCACAATTCATCAGTTACAGTTGTGACAAGACACTCTATGGTCGGCCTCACTGTGGAGTTGCGGGTTCAAGGCATAGTTCATGCTTGTGATCATCAATGCCTCCTGGACACATGACACTTAGCTTAGGACTAGGATATAATTTGTAGGAATAGTGGACTACTATCTTGGACTACTCCCTCATGAGATCACTTGCTTGAAAATGGGGCTCCTCCAGTTCGCTGTCATTGGGAAGTTTGTCGCAGAACTGGGCCAAGTACTCACTCAGGAACTTCTGGTTCAGCTCAGAGCGTTCTACCTGGGAACCAGGCAATGAACCAACCACCATCCCATAATGAAATTACATTGCCGCCATTGCAACAGAATGATGCAAAACCCAAATGCTGCATGCAATATACGTCAGTTAGCTAAGATACATCGCACTCATGGATGGTGTCACCTTTCGTGAACCGGTCCACAAACGAAAAAGGTGGAACCTTGGATGCACGCTCTAAAGACGTCAGCATGCACCAACAAAAACACCATCTCTAGTGCCAAAATGTGCCAAAGCAACCCTGGAATCTTTATCACGTAGTCCAGCCTTTCTCCTCAAAACGCTCCTCCTCCATGGGATGTAATCCGGCTGGTCCAAGATGTCCTTGTAGAACTCCTGGGCTTTTTGGTGGGCACCTGCAAACCTACATGGCCCTTTTTAGCAGCTAGCATCGTAGTATACCATGGACAACCCCAATCGACCCCAATGCAGCTGAAAATCCTGCAGGAGCAAAATGCGCTCTTCAGCTGATGCCAGAGACACCATCGCTTGGCCGTGAAAAGTGGCAAGCAAGGGCTGGGTGAAACCCTCAAGTGCCGCCACTGCCCCTACAGTTTTGAACCCCAAAGCCAAGGAAGTTCGGTTCGGTTGATTGTTGGTTGTAATGCTGGATCAATCCATTGAAGGGCAACCCATCCAACCCTGGCACCTGGATGAACTGGTTGAGGATCTTCCAGGCTGATATCCAATGCATGTCCTGGGTAATGCAGAACCAAGGACTCCAGCTTGAGTCCTTTTGGGATTGGACTTGACCAATATTTGACCAATGAGGACATTCAATAATGCTGGCCAAAGTTCTCCTTGCCAAAGCTCGCTTAATCCTCATGGAATCACCACCTGGGATTGACATACTACCACATCATAATCCAGGGGCACTGATGAGCAATAATCACTCACATGGTGAAAATCTTTGCAGCACAGGCACCCCCAACGAACTCCAAAGCAGATAGCCATGATATCTCATGGCACAGGGTTCAAGGAGGGTGAGTTGATCGTGTAGCATAATTATATAAATTTATAAATGTTTCATGACCAAGTGCCCCAATATGGGGCAGGTTGGTTATTAGTCTATCCATGATGATCTCATTGCCATGTGACAATGACAATGCCATCTCAACTGAGATTGAGCCACCTTGGCCATGTGATCTATTGTTCACGTTCATTGCTAAAAACATACCCAAGCCAAAGACGGTTTTAACAACGGTCTTGGACACTCAGGGTATATATATATCGTATAGACGGTTTCATGCTGATTCACGAAATCTTGTATTTGTAGGTGTTGTTTTTTCCAGGAGCTTTGTGGCTCTTTCTGTTTTTTTTGATTTGACACAAAAGCTTTGCCTTTTTCTGGGGGCTCACTCCTCCCCTCTCCGCCCAGCGGTGGCCAGTTGGTGGGTTTTTCCAGTGGCACATGTGATGAAACGGCGGATGTGTGTTGGAGCTCTTCATGTTCACATCGATGTTGGGACATATTTTGGATCCTTTTTTGAGCCATTTCTGGAGCCAAAAGACCTGATTTTAGGTGCATGTTCTTGTTTAGTCTGGTCCTTGGACTCATTGGGCCCAGAATTCGGAAAAGGGGTTGCAAGGACAAACCCCCAGTGGGGACAGCAGGATGGATGTGTTTGGTCGAACCGGACACTGAATGGACTGGGTAGCTATACTCGACATATCTCTACATTGCCTCACCAAAGTGCAAGACACAATTTGAAAGCGCCCCGCGTAGAGTCTTCGACTTCCTGTTTTCTTGCAGGCTGTGTTCGCAATCTGTGATATTGGCTCTTGTTGCACTTTCAATATCGACATTCCAGCAGTAGTGTGGACGGTTTGCCATGAAGGGTTGAATCAAGTTTGATAGCCTGTCCCGAAAGACTACTTGTACCGGAATGCCAGTTTCGATGTGCCATCATGCAAAGTCAAAGCTTGCTGGGCTGGTGTTATATGGGCATCCTTCCTTTCAGAATAGAAGAGTAGAAGAGTCGCGGTATAGAGTGGTTCTGGTTTTGCCTGATGTTCCCGCCATGTCGGTCTTCGAGCCACTGACGTTGTCGGGCTTCTAAGCAGGGGAATCAGCTGTTCTTTTCGTGGCAGAAGAGGGCGGAAGACTCTCACAGCTCCTGTATGATGTGTCTACCTAAGTCAATTCTCCCGTTAGGCGTCTGAGCTCAAAATGAGGTTTTCACCGGACTTCACTCAAGAAGATCTCATGTTCTTTCTTGTTTCAACATCACCAAAATCAGTAGGGACACCAGTAGGACAATGGAATATCCTTCTTCCATTGCCAGCGGTGTTGTTGACAGAATCCTTTTTTCAAGGCTGGATCCAACTTCCGTTTTTGCAGACCCATGAAGAATCAGAAGACTCATGTTCACTGTTGCTGGCTGGTGATGGATTTCCATGGATTTCCAACTGTGCCCGAAACTTTGTGTCCAGAACAGGTGGACCTTCCAAGCATTCTCCATGAAACGCATGGGAAACGCTCTGAACTCTGGCTCCAATGGGGGGCGCAAGGCGCTTTTTGCCCGGCCCGCGGCCGGCCCAAGACAAACCGTCTCCGCGTGCAGCTTCCACCACTACCGGGTCCGGAGCGCGCCAAGGCCTGCGGAGCTGAAGCTTGAGATCCGCCAATTGGCCGAGGAGCTCGAGTTGAAGGCGACCGGCCAATGTGCCCCGTTTCCACGGCCGTGGCGCTGGCCACCGTCGTTTTTTTGGGGGGCAGGTGTTCAGCACTCAAAGGTTGAACATTGGAGAGAAGCTTGGTTTAGAGTCTAGAGTTGAGCTGCCTTATTTTCATGTGTGTGTACTTTCTCTTGTTTCTTTTCCGGGGGGCAATGCGGATCCACTTGGGTGAAAAGGTAAGGATCGATAGGAAAACGCTAGGTTGGCAAGTATAGGTCTGGTTGGCAACCTGAGCTTCTGATAGGTCCTGAGTTCTGAGTTGTTTTTTCTTCAGGACCCCCCCAAGGGGCGCAACACTGATGGTCCAAACGAAACCCAAGTCACCAAGAAGTCAGCACAGTTGGTGGCTCCGCAGGTGGCTGCGGATCCCGGGCAGGAGGTGCGCCGGGGCAGGCACCCAGAGACTGGGTGGTGCTGACCGGGGAGGCGAAGGAAGAAAGAGGCACAAGTGGAGGCTTTCTATTTGTGGGTTTCCTAGTTGTGCCTAGTTCACCAAGTAAGGGAAGGAAGAACAAAGAGGAACAACTAGGTGATGGTTTCGGAGGAAGAGGAAGAGGTGCTTGGGCGATCGGGATCGGGATCTCGTTTCGCAGCTGAGATGAGGCGTGGGAGGAACCATACAACATCTTATTGGCGTAGCGGCTAGGAATTCTGGCAAACACGACACTGAGATACACTGAGTAATTGTTAATTATACAGTTTGAGCTTAGGTGCCTGCCACCGTTTCCCCGGTCTTCAGCGGTTCCCCTTTCAGGGCACCTGATTCGAGTTGACTGGAAGGCTTGCGGCTTGCTTTTTTGATGCATCAATTGAGTGGCTGGACATCCCTTCCAGGTCCAACACAGTCCCATTGGCGGAAGTTTTGAGGAATCCTCCAATTGCCCTCAACATGATCTCGAGTCTCAACTACTCAGCGAGCCGACCAATGATGTCGTGTGATGTCAGATTCTCCAGTCTGTACAGGGGTGCATACGACCCCTCAGATGTGATTCAGAGCGTTTATTGCACGTATATTCTCATCATACTTGATCCTGATCTTCACCTGACACCAGAAACAACACACATTCTATGTGAGTCCTCATCTGACGAGTCCTCACCCACACATGCCTGCTTCGAACACCGAGGCCCCGGACCTTGGCAGCTCCGAGCCCTTACGCCTGGCGCCGCAGGCGTCGGAGCGGCTCGGAGCTCCCGGGTCGAGAGGTGCGGTTCACCGAAGCAACAGGTGCCATGCCACAGCAAAGCCCCATGGGTTTGGCCGAAAAGGCTTTAACAAACACATGAAATGGGCGGTGTTAATGGCCAAATCAAACTGGTGAGGACTGGGAAAAGAGCTTTTGTCATGTATGCGGCGGAAGACTCGAAGTGTGGACATGGTGGACATGGAGTCCAAGGCTTCCCACGACTGGCATAAATCTATGATCAGAATGTTGAGCAAAACACCCCCAACGCACCGTTGGATGCACGTACTTGTGAGTCCGTATCGCTTCTACGCCACCCCTTGCTGTAGCGGGTGTGACTCAGTGTGACCCCTTGCCGTTGGATTGTGGAGAAAGCCTTGAGACGAAACCACACCAGAAGGACCGGTGGACGGTCAGTTCCGGACGCGTCGGTTTGGGTGGTGACCGGGCCCACAGAACCGATGGTTTTTTTCCGGCGTCTGACTGGGGTCTGATAGCAACTTTTGAGACAGCGGCCCACAGAACCTGAAAAGAAGTTTGCCCAAAAGCCAAATGAACCATTCCAGTTGGGGGACCTTTTGCCGATGTAGTCGACACGAAAAAAAACAACGAATAACGGTGTTGGACGAACTGAACGATGTTCAGCAAACGGGCGTTTTCGGTGCAGGTGCACATTCGAAGCACCTACCGGTCAGAAGCTCGAGAAAAGCTGAGGACCGGGCAGATGGGATCCGCGCTGGGATCCGAAGAGACACTCCGAGGAAAAGAACGAAACCAACAAAACAGGTGAAATCCCCAGCTGTTTGGTATTCGGAACATGGTCATCCCCCAGCTGTTTGGGGCCGTGCCATCCATGATTGCTCCAGGCAGTGCAATGGAGACGTGTTGCTTGAGCAAGCATGACGATGGAGACGGAGGGAGATTAGATACCGATGATACCGTACCGTGCTGAGGAGTTTGGCATCTACTTTTCTGTGTTTCAGTGTGTTTTAGTAGCTGATCAAGTTCCCGTCCCTACTTGTATGGTTGGACTGACGAACCAGGCTAGCACAAGGGTTGTTTTCGGTCAAGGCTCAGGCCAAGTTCGAGATCCATCACTCGATTGAACCCAAAGCAGTTCACCTGAAAGGATTGGAGGTGGAAGTTTCACAGTGATTCCCGCAACATGTGTGCATTTCGATTTAGAGTCATTCAGATTAGATTGCACAAATCGCTAGGTCGCAGAAGTTCAGATGGAGTTTCAATCCACATCTGAACTTCTCCGCCTGGAGGATCCAAGCTGTCTCGCCAGCTCGATCGCCCTGGGATGAACGCGGCTTGGCAAAACACGGTCCGCAGGATGAGACTCCCCCAGACCCTTGGCATCATGAGTCTCATCCTGCTGGCCCTGCTGGTGAGTTTGGGCCCGTGGGCTGCGTCGCTTCGATTTGGATGCCAAGCTGGTCCGTGTCGTTTTGGGGGGTCGATCAGAAGGAGCGGAAGGAGCGGGAGTCGTTCCATCGTCTCCGGTGGCCGGTTGTTGGGATGGTGGTCGAGTCAAAGGTGTTTGGAGTGCGCAACCGAGGGGCAACCGAGGTCAACCGAGGCCTTGGCCTTGGCGGGACCAGCACCATTTAGAGTGAAAAGAAGAAGTGTGACCGGCACCATTCGACTGGACACCCCCAATGGTTGTTTTTTGTGACGCTGCATCATATCTCCATCCAACTGGGTTTCTATTCTCCCTAGGGCTCCAACCATCTCCTCAGGTTCGGTGTTTAGACTCCCCCTGGCACCCACCCACCCCTGGCGCATGTTCTCACCGCTCCGGTCGTCCTCTTGGAGCCCATCTGTTCGGGTCTGAGCTAGCTGCCGAACAGATGGTGCTGGTCCGGGCTGGCGGTACCCCGGGGTGTGGGACCTGGCTTGGGCGCAGATTCTTAGCGTGATGTCATGCTTCTAGAATTGTTCAAATTGTCCACAGGTTGGATCAGAAAGAGTCCAACATTGTGACGTTTTCTTCATGGACACTCTCGACCACTCACGCGACCGGAATTTTTGAGTGGTGAATAGCATCTAGCCCAGCCCTCTTTCCCATGGCGCACGGCAGTTCTCAGCCCATGGCCCAAGCGGCAGGCTATGCTCCCTCTGACCTTCTCGATGATCCAGGCGCGCTGTGCGACCCGCAAAGCGGTGCGCGGGGTCCGGTGGCGGAACATCACCGATGTGCACAGCAGTACAACCCAGACACGACTTATGGGACTGGAATATATATGCTTACATTGATCCCCAAACCACCACCCCAACTGATCGGCACGACATGGCAATCCCATGGAGTGTTTGGTCACAGGGAATCCATTTTTACACCTGCAGAACACTTTCCTGGTTTGCAAAAGCGGTATCACGGTATCACCCTCGCTTTGTTGCAAAACATGACATGATCCAGAGAGAGAGAGAGAGGGGCGTCCTCCAATGCTGTTCACGTTTATCTCAAGTGGACTGACTTGCCAGTCTACTTGTCTATCTATGGGTCATAGAACATCATCAAACTACAGTCTTGGAATATGTTTGTTCAAGGAGCCATCGATTTCCTGTTCCCATGAATTTGCCTGGAGCTGGGTATTGTGAAATATGTTTAATCTCTCAATCCTGACTCTGTTTGTGACATGAGAGAACCATTGGTGCCTTTTAGAAAGATTTATGCTTCAAAGCTTGGGACATGCAGAGCCAGCAGACCAGCAACTTGAAAAGTGTGCAACTCATCTCACTTGAGGTCTCAGTTTCCGAGAATGTTCTGTCCCTTACAAATCAAAATGGATCCAGTTAATTAGTTTAGTATGTATCAGTGGTTCCAAAGACTAAAGCCATAGACCGAACGAGGGCCCCTGGTTGCTTTTGTAGTGGCTGCCACTGGGAATTGCAGATTCGTATGACCGACAGTCATCATGCCATAGATGGTTTGTCACGAAAGCTTGTTTGCCAAGCGGGTACCCGGCTACCCTTTGAGTGGCTCCGCTGCGATCGCCCGGTCCCAAAGGTCCAAAAGTTGGCCACCATGTTTCGACAGGTCCCTTTGGGTGAGAAAACATGTTTCGACAGGCATTGACAGTCCTTGAGATACAGTATATAGGAGGATCCACGGTTTGGACAGGTTTGAACTGCTTATTGTGATGATGGCTGACTCATAATTCCTATGGGTCCAGCTGTCAGGAAGAGAGCAGGTCTTGCAGAAGGACCGACGCCTCGTGTCGGAGTGTCTCGCGTGACCAGAGTTCCGGTCCAAGCGTCGAAGCGTCTTTGTGACCGGGGGCGATGCATGGTGCCATTTGCTGGGAGATGGTACGAACACGGTACGAACACCATGTAACACAACAGTACCAGTGGTTCCAAGTGTCGGTGCTTTGGTAGAAACCACCGATTTATATAGATTTATACAGAATTTATCATCAAAGCCGTCCGATCACCCGGGTGTTCTGGGGTGATTCCAGCGGCCAGTTCTTCCCATCCCAGGAGCAAAGCGACCGAGAGGAGTGGTACAACGATCGCCTCAGCGAGCGGGAACGCTTGCCCATCTACGAGGTGGGAAGGGATAGGCCAGACACTCCAATGTATGTCATCTTTGATACATACCATGGGGTGTTTTGGGGTGGTTGAAAAAGGGTCAATGTATGTGAAGATTCCAGTCCCATGGAGTGTGTGGGATACATCTTAATACTCATATGACCCAGGCACAGTTGATGGGACATCATGGGGCGATAAACTTGCATGCCTACATCGGCTCCTGTTGTTCAGCACTCGCCCTTTCACGTAGCTACATGTGCCAGTCTGATGGAGTTTTTGGGATAGAGTTTCGGAAAACAACCCGCGAAAGTAGGCCACAATTTGCGAAAGTGGAAAGTGGAGAGGGGCAACGGGAGAGGAACAAAACATGGATTTCCAGGGTTGCATCGGACTTGAACCCAAGCGGCCAAGCCCAGAAGAGGATTTCCCGTTCATGACCCTGGTAGGCGTCGATCCAAACATGGGCGTCCAGAGAATTTTGTGGTCGTAAGATCCCCACCCTGTTACTGAGCTTTCGAGGGGGGGGACCTCAAAAATGTAACTTACATTTTTTGGGGGGGACCCTAAATGTAACAACCCCCCCCCCAGGCAAGATTTCAGGGTCTCTGGAGGGGGGGGAGGGGGCCTATAAAATGTAACTATGGACCTCCCAGGGCCTATGTTACATTTTTGCACCCCCCCCCGATGCCTTTTTTTGGGGGGGTGGAAGAAATGTAACAAGATACCTCCAAGGTAGTCTCATAGGTGTATAGTTACATTTGTTCTCCCCCGCTTTTAGCTTCGTGGAGCTTGCATGTGTATGTAGAGCATTTGGCTCCACGATGGCACATGCCGTTGAGAAAGACAATACCGAATTGGACTAAACGAGATTTTCAAAGATAGAATAGACATGGTCAACTCATTATTTTGTTTGGCTCTGGCTGGCAGGGATAAGGCTTGGTGATGCTTGGGAGGTGAAACATTGGTGGATCAGGTAACAGACAAGCAGGTAAACATGCAAGTTTTCAAGCCCTGGACAAACAGTAAGTTACATTTATTATGGTCCTTTTGTGAAGTCTTTTTTCTTTTTGAGCTTGGGAGGTGTGAGGCAGGGGGTTTGTGGTGTGGTGGGCCAAAGGATGCTGGAAGCAAACCCTCCAGTGGCGCACAGTCCAGGGAACCATATGTGATAATGGAGTATTTCATGCCTACCCGGAACTCACTTACATTTTTTCTTGTCCTGTTTGTACTTCCACAGTAGGAATTGGACCAGCTGTGGCCGGCAGGGAGAACGCTGGGCAGTGGTTGGGTGATAAAAAAATGTAACTAAGTGCGCCCCAGGCAACAGACAAGCAGGTAAACATGCAAGTTTTCAAGCCCTGGACAAACAGTAAGTTACACTTATTATGGTCCTTTTGTGAAGTTTTTTTCCTTTTTGGGCTTGGGAGGTGTGAGACAGGGGATGGCCAAGCATTTCTTGTAGTGTGGTGGGCCAATGACTGAGAGATGCTGAAAGAAGGATGCTGGAAGCAAACCCTCCCGTGGCACACAGGACAGGGAACCATATGTGATAATGGAGTATTTCATGCCTACCCAGAACTCACTTACATTTTTTCTTATCCTGTTTGTACTTCCACAGTAGAAATTGGACCAGCTGTGGCTGGCAGGGAGAACGCTGGGCAGTGGTTGGGTGATAAAAAATGTAACTAAGTGTGCCCCAGGCAACACACAAGCAGGTGGGCGCTTGCGAAAAGCGCAGAGGGAAAAACTGCTACAGCATGCTGCAGTTTATGACCTTCAAGATGTAAGTTACAGTTGCAGGCAGACTGCCTGGAAATTGTAACTTGCATTTTTTGCAGATTGTTACATTTTCTGCCTGTGGATGCCAGGAAATTGTAACTTACATTTTCCAGGGTTTTCTGAGAAAGTGTAACTTACATTTTCCAGGCACCCTCGAACAGGAAAATGTAAGTTACATTTTTTCAGGTCCCCCCCTGCATACTGGGTAGGGATGTCGTAAGCATATCCTCACTGGTGTGTAGCATTAATGACTCCTAGACACTAGTATAGGAGGCCTTCCATTGGTGACCCCTTTGAAGGTGCTGGTGTGTGTAGTTTAGGAGTTCAGAACCCCCAAGTGTACGTTCACTGCCAAATGGAATAATGACCATTTGAGCTCCGTGAATGCCCATTGAATGGCATCGTGAAAGACTCCGGTTCGATGTGCCCCTCCCCTGAACGGTCCAGTCCGGTGCTAAACGGTTTAAGTCACTAGTGGCGTGGCCAACAAGGAACTCTCAAGGCCTGTGAATTCAACTCTCAATATCTCAACAAACAATGAATCATCGAACTCTCGCAGATCTCACGTTCTTTTTTTTTGGGGGGGGTGTTTCAGGACCATTCCAGAATTGGCTGCAGCAAAAGGGAGTCATGAGCCGTCATGAGTCCCAAATCCTTGGGCTGCCGTTGTTCGGCGAAGAGCCTAAGGGCATCTACATACCCAAACCATCCATGGGACTGGACTAGTTACAGTTACTCACATTAGAGTCAGTTTTCATGATTCTTCATGGGGTAAATGTATGAGAATCCTTGGGTTCTCCATAGCAGGAGTGGGACCTAACACCTTCGCACGGGTCCGGACGCCGGACCCTCAAAACCGGTGTTTGTTGAGGGCTCAGGGTCTTAGGGTGTAACATGGTGTGACATTGCGTAATTCTTCCAATCGCATGGATGCTAGGTACGACCTGGGAGCTGCTTTCTTTGTCGTTTTCACGTCGTTTTCACGTTGTGCACCAGGCCAAGGACCGAGTGCTTTCGGCCATTCGCCTCGGGACCCAGTGATGGTGCACCATGTGGCTCAGGGGTTGGAACAGAATGATGGAACCTCAAAAATCAATGGGCGAGCTGGCACGATTTCCCATCATTCATGCCCATTTGGCCGGTTTTGAAACCACTTTAAATCAAGTGTTTGGGATTGTTTTGGACTGTGAGTAGCTGGCTGGTTCTGATTCACCTAAGTGCAAGAACAGTTGGGATCCTGCTTGGTTTGTCTTAGGGCCGCTCCTGAAAGGACTCAGCTTTGCTTGGACGGTTCCCCCCTTGGAACCGAGCTCCTTTCCTCAAGGCCGCAGCCGTGTGACCCTTGTGGCGGCAGACACGGGGTCAGGCCCAGCACACGGCCGGCGTGTTGTTGCCACCGATCGGATGCCGGGCGAAGGAGGGTTTTTGGAGTCCAAGACGGCCGTTTCACATTTTTGACCCAGATTTCAATAGTTTGAAGCTCACTTGACCTGGGTCATCCTGAGTCCACGACTATGGTCCAGCTTGCAAGCTTCAGCATTTGATTTTGTTTTGCTGGGCTAATCCCAGATTCCTAAGTGTTTGATCGGTACCCATTTGAGATGTTTTGCACGTGTCCTGGAATTGTCAAGATTGTGCGGGGGAAGCAGGGGCTGGGACAAAGGTGTCAGACATTTGCATCCACTTATATATCCTTTTTCAGATTCTGGCAGGCATCATTGATTTTCCGCGCATGTCGCTGACTGTCATGTCTTGAGCATTTTGAGCCGCCAGGTCAGCATCATTTCAGCTGGAGAACTAAGTCACCTCGCTCATTTCTCATCCTTGTTACACTGTTACACGGCATGTGCAAATGGTGTGTTTGGGGGTCCCTGACCCAGTGAAATTCCAAGAGTTTCCAGGTGATTGGCTCTTCAAACGTGTTTCGGGATCCCAACACCATGTCCAAGGCACACCCAAAAGGGATACAAGAGATTCACTGTTACATGCTGTTATGTTGATGCCCAAAGTAAAGCCAACAAACATGTGCAGGGCATAGCACACGTCATGGAGACCACATGGGATGCCGGCCATCTCACAGACCGAAATAAGTCGATGCCAGGGGTTGCAAAGGCAGTGGCTTACCGTTTTCAGTATGAAACAACGAAGCAAAACTTGCCCCGGCCTCTGGTGGAACTACCATAACTACCGTTGTTAGTTCAACAAACCAACATAAAACTAGCCAAGCTCAGCTGGTCCTTCCGGTGTCGGGCAAAGTACCCATCTCGCCAGGGAAATCCACCCAAGTACCACAGTTCATCTTGGACGAGGCCATCTCTGAAGGCGCGGTCGGTCGCAAAATCCGCACGACTCGGCACGGGAGACCAGCGACCATGGTGGAGTTCGTTCGGTTGTAGTGATGAGTGTATACTGTTGACGGAATTGTGGTAGTGCAGGTGTTCAAGAAACTATAACGATGTGCATGCAATACATGTTATTGTTTTCTCGTTTCATCTTCAGCCCCACGCTTATTGACGGTCCGATCTCGCTGTGAGGCCGTGGTCGAGATGTGCACGTGGTTTGCACACAGCCGAGACGCTTGGCCGCAGTCTCCTTGGCCTCGAGGCCGGTGCCGAGCGGAGAACGGGTGCCCAGCTATGGGTGGCTCGGTGGTGTTGTCGGATTGGTCAGTCAGAGGGGAATGGATGGCAATTGGCAGGATGGCAATGGAACATAACATAATGGAACTGCCTTGTTGATCATGCAGTTTCTCATATCCCAACAGCGCATGGCGCAAACTCTTGAGCCCCAAGTGATACGTTTTTTTCTCCTGGCCAAAGTCCCAAGTTTCTCCTGGCATCATCCGGCATCCATGCCTGTTCAGAGAACCACTACTACTAAGTTACTACTAGTAACAAGGGCACTACTACCAATAGCAAGAAGCTACTAGTAGCAAGGGCATCATTACTTATAAGTAAGTGCCTCTTCAGAATGGTTTTCCTGTGCATCTCGTCGGCAGGGTCTCCTGGGAACGCGGTGAGCGCAGCGACGGGCACGGCTCCACGGGCCATGTGGCTCGGGCGCAGAACGCGTTCCGCGACGGGGGCGGAGGATCGGAGGCAATGCAAAGCAGGTTTGGGTGGATCGCCTGGGTGGGTTTTCGATGGTTTTGGTATGGTTGTCATGTCCAGAGACAGTGTTTGGTTCCTGATCCGCCCGCCCAAAACCGGGCATGGGTGTTGCGAGGGCGTTGGTTAGTCAAATAATGTTTAATGTCAAAATAGATTACAACCTGCATTTGAGGACTGGGACTAGTTATAATTTAAGTAGTTTTGTACGTTTTGTGGGTAGGCATGCCTCGTAGCAGTGCGATTTTGGACTGCTCCTGGATCCTAACAACTGACAGAGGTCAAACAAAAGGTAAAGAACCTGTTTCAGTTTCTTCCACTTTTTTTGTTTCGACCATTGCCATAGGTGTGATTTTGAAGCAAACGGAGAGCTCGGCCACAGTGTGGACAGGTGTGGAAAGACTTTGAAGCTTTGATGGGTCCTTGATGGTCTGCACTGATGCACACCCTTCTCCGGCTTATGGTCCTTCCGGGAAATCGGTGCTGAATCGACCGGGGACGGAGCCTGGGTTCGGTTCGTTGGATCCAGCGCTGCGGTTCGGTTCGTGCTGCGCCCCACGGCCAGCACATGAACCCACGGCCACGACTCCAAGAGTCGAAGGTAGGAGATGAAACACTCCAAGTCGACTTCACAGGTCTTCACCAGCCCAAATGCTTCGGTCACTTGTTCATCCGGTGGAACATACAGATGGCACACAGGTCGCGGTCGCGGTCCACCGTCGCGGTCCCAGCACAGGTGGTCCGATGGGAAGAGCGTCCCCCCCAGGCGAGGCGATAGGGGCGCGCGTTGTGTGGGCGTGAACGGCTCCGGTTTCACGGGCTCCGGTGTCAAAAGAGAGAGCGACATGCAGAGGACCATCCATGGGACTGGAAGAGTGACATGGGACTGGAAGAGTTACAGTATCAAGATTGTAGTTTCATACATTTCATGCTGTATCCCATGGATATCCTTTTTTTTCAATGTCCTCTACGAAATCAGGTATCATGGGACAGCAAATTCAGGTGGTTTTTTTAAATCTGTAAAAGATCCACCCCCCCATTTTGTAGAGAGAAATCAGTGGGTGTCTCATTGACAAATGATTCAAATGATTCTGTAGCATTTGTTTATCCTGGCAAGTCTATACATTGAGTGCATGTGGAAAAGGATATTCTAGAGATTTGAGGGTGACTCCAGGGATTTTGTAGATACCAAGAATGTATGTGAATGTATAGTAACTGAGATTTTGTAGTAGTTCTTTTGATATGTGCAATGACCACAACTCATGGACTCATGATTTTGTACAAACACTGAATTCATGATTTTGTAGAAACGCTTTGCTTTCTACATTGCAGCCCATTTGGCTGACTGATTTTGCAGAGCATATGAGTATCTTGCTTATTTTTTTCCCACAATCCTCTTGAATCTTGAATCCACTTGATCCATTTTATAGAGAGGATCTTTTGATACATAATTCTGGAACCTCTGGGCACGTTGACAACTGATTATGTAGCATTTTGGTGTTCATTACATTTGTAAAATGGGTCTATGGAAAAGCATTTTGTAGAGAACATGTGGGCCGCCATGCCATTTTGTAGTGGAATTGCATGTACGTCCAATTGTTTAGAGACAGTTTTCTACAACAAAACTCCCACCATGACCATGCCAATTTAAATGTGGATCCATTTAATCTATGACCCTAATTGACAGCAACAGCTTAACACTTCCATACATGGATGGTTCCCAGACAGTTATTTCCTGGATTTTCCTGGTGACGACCAATGGCTAATCCATAAGGCAACTACACACAAGCACAGACAGCCAGCTGAGTTAGTTAGGGGGTCTGGGCGGGGTGGCCCGCAAAAGGTACATGTAAACTCGGCACATGCTGGGGGAGGAGGGTGGACGGATGGAAGGTTTTTTGAGGTTGTGTTGGAGGTGATTTTTGAGGGGTGGTGATGCAAGAAATGCCACTTGCATCATTTGCATCATCTGAATGGTAAGGTGTAGTTGGCACCTTGCCAGGTATAGATACCCAGGGTAGCTATAGTGCAGTTACCAGGTATAGTACTTCAAGTTCCCTTTCCATCAACCGCTCGATAACCTTTACACACGCACAGCAATCCGCAGCTTTGAAGTCTCATGCGCGCGACACCTGGGAACAGAATTGTAGCTACCCTGGGTCCGTATAAATGCTATGTTGCTATACCTCTTACACACCTACATAAGTTCAAAGCACGAATGAGACTTCAAAGCTGTGGCTTGCTGTGCATGTGTAAAGGTTATCGAGCGGTTGACGGAAAGGGAACTGGAAGTACTATACCTGGCAACTGACTTGTAGCTACCCTGGATATCTATACCTGGCAAGGCGCCAGCTGAGTAAGAAGGGGGGTTCGGGGGGTGGCCTGAGAAAGCACACTCGAAAGTAGGTGGTGTGTAGGGGTGCACGGACGCAAGGTTTTGGAGGTGCTTTTTTATGATTTTAAGAAATGCAATTGTCTTCGGTTGGCTGTAGTGCTGAATTGTAGCTACCCTGGCTATACCTGGCAACTGTCTTGTAGCTGCCCTGGGTGCGCGCGCGCGCCTAAATCACGGGATACCTGGCAACAGAATTGTAGCTACCCTGGGTCCGTATAGATGCTATGTTGCTATACCTCTTACACACCTATATAAGTTCAATGCAAGAATGAGACTTCAAAGCTGTGGATTGCTGTGCGTGTGTAAAGGTTATCGAGCGGCTGACGGAAAGGGAACTTGAAGTACTATACCTGGTAACTGAATTGTAGTTACCCTGGGTATCTATATCTGCGCCACTGCGCCAGCTAAGTAAGAAGGGGGGTTCGGGGGGGTGGCCTCAGAAAGCACACTCGAGAGTAGACTGGCTTTCGTTTTGCAGCTTCTCAGGTAAATACATATTACACACGATTACAAAACGGAGTCGTTTGTTCACACCCCCTTGTTTGTTTGCGAGGCCCTGGGGATCTATTTGCTTTTGCCACTTGGACCAGCATTCACGATCTTTTTGTTTGGTAGAGATATTTCTTAGCACTGGTGAAGTGCAATAACAGTTTCTTGTTTGACTCGAGTGTGCACTGTTGGTCTTTGTGGGGAAGTCTTGCAGAAGAGTTGTGTGCGCCCTCTTCGCGGCAACATGGGGCGATAGGCGATCCCAATTCTGCAGGTTTTGAATTCTGTTTTCCAGTGCAGACTTCATCCTGCCTTGCCACCCTGTTTCCTTGACTCCAGTAAAGCGAACATCATGTCCATTGGATTTTTCTCTGTGTGCCAAGCATGGACCCTGTCAAAATCCTTCCAAAGATTTGCAAATATATAACCACACCAATAATAACACAGTGACAAAGGCAGCCTTATAGAACTTGTCACTACATTCCTCACGAATCACCAGCATATAGTATAGAAGACCCCTTGTTTGCAAAGTACATGAGTACATATTTGTGAATAGGAGTGTTGTAACGTTCCTGTACCAGTTCCTCAGGGCTCCAAGCAGATCCTCAGAAGATAGTTAGGACCCGAAACCCACCCCAACCACCTCCTAAGGATGTGGTTGAAGGTGTAGAGGTTTGCTGTTCCACTCTAATTTTGACACGTTTCCCAGAATTTAAAGAAACATCTACAGGAAAGCCATCTAATAGGTTTCCTAGTTTTGGGGTGTGAACACTTGGACGTTTCTTGCAGATGGTTTTTTTTCCCCTATATATAAACTTTATAAACATTTATAAACCAATTCGACACGTCGTCTTTGCCTGGCCGTCCAGGTACAGTGGGTTCCCTCCTGCCGCGACTCTCCCGATTGGGAGCCTCGCACATCATCGTGGATGAGGCGAGGCGGTGGTCATCACCTTACTCCACCCGAGCAGAAGGGTATGGTTGGAGTATGACAGAGGTGTTTGTTTTGGGATGGTAGATCAAAGCTACGTGGCTTCATACTTCACTAGTGAGTGAAATCGACGAGTCCTGAGAGGGCGTCTTATGGGCATCACAGCACCTTCAACTTTGAGCCAGCGCCCCTTTCAACAAATAGATAGAGCACTATTCCTGAGGAGATGACATTTGGAGGTTCACCTCAGTTCGGGCTTCTGGCAAGAGCAAGGTCTGCTTTTCAGTGCAACATGACATGTAAAAGTGGCTCAGCTCAGCCTCAACAGATCGATGTGGATCTCTTGGGGGATCGTTTAGCAGGAGGCTGACTGTCCCCGCTGTTCGTTCCCAGTCTCCAACGTGAGATCGCTCGCGAGGCTCATACGCGTGACATCCACACCGACCTGCTCTTGACCGTCTTACTGGAGTGACCCGGTTTACTGGAGTGTCGTGACGCAACGTGCCTAGAGGAAACAGGCAGAAAGAGCTGTCCATAGAACCTCACTACAGGGATGGATGCCATGATTGTTAAGGGATTCTCTGGTCCCTCCAAAAGCGAATAGAACCAAGGGAAATGTGCATGGGTTCATCGACCACGTTGGCACCGGTTTTTTTCTAATCCTCTGTGGACACCTCGTAGGACCCAGCGAGCTCTAGCAGAACTTTGTGGTAGGGATTGTGGACGCCACGAACTTCATAGGACCTCCATTCCACATAAAACACGTACATAATATTGCCATGATAGAAACAAAAAGAACTTTTAGAAACCATAAAACATATAGGTCATATCACAGATCCACCCAAAAATCAATGACATTGATTTGCTTTGGGCATGCATGTGTCAACTGGGTGCTTGATATGTCGTGTCATTGATTTTTGATCACACACGTGGATGGCGCAGTTTCAAGTGCCTACAAACATGCAACCAGAAGCATAGCCACTTGTGAAGCTGGAAGTTAAGAACGTAGATGCAAGAACTGCTGGAACATTTGTCGAACAGAACAGTTGCGACCTGGCTTGTTGATCACGTCCACGGATGGTGTCTGAAAAATAGGTGCATATATATATATATAAGGACATTCGTGAATATATACATATATAAGGGCATCTGGGCTTCATTGTGGGGAGGTGTGGGGCTATAAAGTGGGTTGCCCCCACCCCATGGAATCAACTGTGCTGGAGGGGTGCCAGGAAGGGCACTTGGGCTTCATTGTGGCACTTCTGCTTTACTGGCTGAGTGGGCGGTGGGAGCAACTCATTTCATAGGAGAGGTGCTGGGCTATAGAATTGGACTTAGAATTGGTTCCCCCCATCCCCTGCCCATGGAATAAAGACATGTGCCTGTGTTTTACCTTGTTGGGAGCCCTGCTACATCCTGGCATGCTGCAACTCCCTGCCTGCTGGAGGGGTGCCAGGAAGGGCACCTGGACTTCACTGGGTGGGCGGTGGGAGCAAATCATGTCATTGGGGAGTTGTTGGGTTGCCACCACCCCCCGCCCACGGAATAAAGTGTGTGCCTTGGGCTGTTGGTACGTGGTGTGATTTTGCGAAGAGGCATCAGATGAAATCAGAAGGGATTAAAAAAGAGCAGTCTTTGCAAGACTTTGTGCGCGCATTGCAGAAGTGGATTTTTGAAGAGGCATCAGAAAGGAGTACTTTGAGCATGCATCGGGTATCATTGGGTTAAGTGTTTGCCTCTGTCTGAGGTTTGACCGGGTGAAAGAGGATTCTATTTATGGTGAGTGGGGCCACACCAAAATATGTCCCCCTTCCCGGTGCCCACCACCATTTCATTGCATTGTAAAATTTGTGGCAGGACCCCTACCCGGTACTGTCACGGGGATTACACTATTCTTACTTATTTGTTTACTATATTTTTAACATTATAATACATTATATATATAATACTTATAAAACACTTTCATTGGAAAGAGCCTGTTTTCTAAATAAAAACAGTCAATCCCAAAAGTCAAAGTCAAAAAAAAGTCAAATCAGCAAATTTCAGAAAGTCAAACAAAGTCAATTGCCCAGATCCGACCTTTTTCGACATGTTTTCGACGTTTTTTGAGTTGTTTTTTCGACGTTTTTGATTTTTTTTTGACTTTTTACTTTTTCGAGCTGTGGTCTACGGTTCACTTTTTTTCGGCTTTTTTTTACATGTTTTTAACTTCTTTTTTTGACTTTTCTTGACTCCAGTAATCCGCCAAGGCGAAGAGCCACAGTTTTGACTTGTTTGACTTTTTTTCGACTTGTGTTTTGCCTTATTTTTCGATTGTTTTTTTTACTTTTTTTTGACTTTTTCGAGCTGTGGTCTATGGTTGACTTTTTTTGACTTTTTTTAACGTTTAGTTTGACTTTTTTTGACTTTTCAATTTGACTTTTTTTTGACTTTGACTTTTCCAGTTGACTTTTTTTGACTTTTTTTAAATCACGGATTCTGGCCTTACCATATGAAAGTTTTTTATAATATTATACACAAAATATTATGATTCTTCATGTTCTCTCATGTCCTAGTTCGGTCATTGCTCCTCTACCACTGTTTAACACTAGCATTTGCATAGTTCCTGGCAGTTCCTGGCACGAGTATCCCTGTGTTTTTTCCACAACCCCGGCCGCCAAATGCTGCTCAAACCAGTGCCATGTCTCAGGCTGTTGAGATGCTCCTGGGACTTGAAGGCGCAGCACGGGAGCGAAACATGGATACGACCCGAATCTAAGACAATCCGACCAGAAATCTATAGCACAACTAGTGGCAAGTTCCTGTCCTGCATGTGAATCCGTGAATCCTTTTTCAAACAACATGACTTCGGAAGCAAACACCGGACAGACCAGGTGGACTTGGAAAGGGTTAAAGCATGGAATGCTATTCACCGGATCCAGGTGGTGTTCCCGAGTTGGTGGGCTCCAAATGCATCCGTCGGACTGGACGCATGGACGCTGCGTCGAGCCAACACCGTAGCAAGTTGCCGTCGGGAGGTCGGTGCTCGGCTGCAGTCGGGTTCAGCGAGGATCCAAGAAACAGAAACAATTCAAGGCAACTTCCATCAACTTCAACGTTGGATTGAGGATCTTGGATCCAAGAAGGATATTGAATCAACTTCTTGAATCCCCAAAAAGGATATTGGCTTGAGGATCTTGTTGTGTTGCCCAGATGGCCGCAGAAATGGCCACAGAGTCAATTGCACCAATATCCTGAACTCCTCCGCGTTTCAAGCACCAGACCTATGCCGCTTGTGGTATTTGCAGGTGGAGCAGCAGGAAGCTTCGGGTTGAGGATGGGCAAACAGAAATGTGTGAACATTGTCACGAGTCACGGGCGAGTGGCTACTCAAACCTTAGGCCCTGAACATGTTGGAGATGATGCATGTTTGATTGAGAACTCAAGGTTTTGTCAGGTTTTCACTGACAACCCTTGACATACGACATCATGCCATATACCATCATGATCGTGTCATCCTGACTTTTTGTAAGCCGTTTGTAAGGTTGCTGGCTGGATGCCCAAAACAGTGCAGCTTCCTTCAACAGCATTGCCTGTCAGGTCATCGTGATGTCTGCGACGTTGGACGTGTCCAAGCTAGGAACCTAGTGATTCTTTGAGCAGATCCTTTGAGCAGATCCAGTGCTTGGGGTTGTGAAAGATAGGCAGAGTCGGCAGAGGTGCTTGGAGTTGTATGTGCGTGTTGTTCTTTTCCCGCAGCGGGTAGCGAAAGGGTCTCCTTTCAGAAGCTTTAGGAGTAGCGGAGGTAATGGCCTGGTTTTGATGACAGGGACCAAGGTTTTCGAAACTAACACCCCGCATCCGCGCTTTCGTATGGAAAGTCAATGTTTGGTTGCTGGATTTAACCTCTGGGCTGTTTACTGGGAGACTGGGTGTCCCTAAGGTGCATAGGGAGATCCAGCGCTGGAAAAAAAAACAAGAACAGTCACAAATGGATTCTGAAATTTGAAGTGTGAAACGGGGATGCAAGGAAGCAGTGGGATTGCCAGGTGGTCTCAAAACGGAGTTCCTGAGACAGGAAGCAGTGGGGGTTCCGTCTGGTTCCGGTGGTATGACGGATGGCGGATGGCAGCTCCAGGTGGCAGGGGCACTTCAGACACTTCGATTGTGCGGAAGCACGGAGCTTGCGGCACCGGCGCATATGGCATAGCTGCTTCAGAGGTTGTACCGAAGAGGATGCGCACACTGGTTGGTTTCAATCACTGGTTGGTTTCAAGAGCTGCTTCAGTGGTTGGTTTCGGCACATATCAATTGAAGTTTCAATCAATCACGTACTGGAGTGGGACAGACACTGCGAAGCTTTGTGGATTGCATGCACCAACACGAAACGAACACCACTAACACTCCGGTTCTTTTTGCAGGGAAGCCCTCGATCCAGGAACAGAGAGATTGGTCTCAACGGTATTCCCTTGGTCTCAACTGCTGGGGACGGTCATCCCATCTTTCCTTCTGCTAGCACTGGGTCTTCTCCAGGCGTAGACAGCCAACAATCCATGGGGGCAGACATGAGATGCAACATGGTGCAACGTCCAACGGGTAGGATGGAATCTTGCTGAGGTTGTGTTTGCAAACGTTTGCCTGATATTACCCGGACAAGCATGAATTACACTATATATATATATGCGTTATTGTTCGTCCCTAACTGTTCCTTCCACCGGAATAGTTTAAGGAGCAAAGTATAGCTTAAGATATGCTCATGCTGCCCCTACCTATATAACAATAGGCTTTGCGGATATGGGGTGAAGAATAACACTTCCTGGCTGGAGAAACACATATTGCCAATGTTATATATTTACCTAGTTCGCCACGGGTAGAACGAGCTCACTCCAGAGGGATTCCCGCCTTTTTCTTTTTGCCTCGCAGTAAGGTGAGCTGGTGCGTGCTGGTGGGCGCCCCTATGACGTCCGAAGATATTTCTTGGAGGACTTGCAAGAGCTAGCACCAGACCTGGCCGGTAGTTGCATGGCACTGCGTCATGGCATCAGGATACCTTGGCTGACTTGCCGACGTCACGTCGTTCGCGGCTACATGGTGGACTGGTCGGGCTCTGGGTTTTGGACTCATGCCCACCTGTAGTCATATGATGTGGAGATCAGCTGACTGGATTCGGGCGATGTTGGAAGGTTCGAGTCGATGCTGGATGGAGCCCGCAGGGTGGTCATTAACGGGCACTGTTCACTGTTCGATCAAGGGAATGGTTTCTGGACCATTTCTGGACCATTTTTGGGTAACGTATCACTGAGGATTTTAAACGCAGCAGTACTCAGAGTATGTCCCTCATATATATTATATATAATATATACAGTATATATATATATTTATATATACATAGCTCATCAAAAAGCGGCTATGCAGGGCTCAACCGCAGGACATCGTGGAAGAGCTTCGGTGGCAACCCAGCAGCGTCGAGGAGGTCGCCGCCGGCGTTGCTCGGACGGCGAGCGAAAACGATCGACGAAAGACTCACCGAGAAGGAGAACACCGGGGGGTGTTGTGCCGGGGTGTTCCAACAAGGTCGAATCTGCGAGGTGTTCACACAAGCATACAAAAGCAGGGATTTGAACTGAAGCCCAGCTTATTCAGAGGCTCACGGCGCGTTCCAAAGCATGTTGGCTGGACCCCTTGATGGAAGTCAAGCGTGGTGGGTGGCTCGGGGGTTTAAGAGACACTTGTCAGGTGACCTTTTGGCGCATGTGGGTTACTCATTGAGGTTTTCATTAGCTTGGTGGTTCCAGGCATTTGCGGTTTTGAGGTTCGTCCAAACACATTCTGTCACCGTTCATTAAGCTTGCTGGAGCTCATTTCAGCTGTGTGCTGAGGTTTGGTCGGATGTGGATTGCAACAGGCACAGCCTGGAGAATGGAGAGGGGTTTTGTAGATCAGTGTATGTCAACAAGATCTAGGTTATTCCCTGCGAAAGACTATTGATTTCATTTGATTTTCTATAGTGAAGTAAAGGCAGTTCCCTGTCAGGTCCCCATACAGACCATTCTTTGGTTCTATGTTCATAGTATTTGGCTCTCGGGGTATTAATATTTGAATGAACGACAAGAAGATGCGGAGCTTGGCCAAGATTTGCAGTCTGCCTTTGCAACCTGTGATTGATTCCAGCGATCTCGCCATGTCACCATGTCACATGTTATATGTAATTTTCCTGCGCTGGCCGGCCGCTGGCCAAAAGGTTAATTGTACGGTGAACATACCACTTTCCAGATTCGGAATGACCAACTAAGAGCTTGATTGTTCCTTTCTTCTTCACGATTCACGACCCTAAAGTAGTGTCGTACTGAATTTACCTGTGAGATCCAGTGAGTGAGTCGTAGTACATTGGCATTCCATCTTGCAGTTACAAAAGAAGTTGCACTACAGGCTCTCGATGTTTTCCCATGTGTTCCTATCTATCTCAGTCAGTTGCACCAATTCCAATAGCCCCCCCTCGGCCGCAGGGGCTTCTTGGATCCCGAGGGCCGTTACTCTCAGGCACGGACCAGTCGGGAGTTTGCGGGTGGGCCAGACATGGGTCGTCTCGGAAGATCCGATGGGGACAAGACATGGGGTGTGTGTATTTGACATAGGGAGATCCCCTGGCCCCAATGGTTTTGGTGATCTGAACCGAGACCCGGGGGAGAGACCTCTCAGGTAGGTCTCTCTATTGTGTCTCGACACACCCAAATGGAAATCTGGGGAGAAGTTGTGACACCTCACCCCCTTGAAGACGATCCCGACCCTGAAGACCAGAAGCTGAAGGAATGCAATCTTCCGGGGTGACCAAAACGACAAGGTCAATTTGTTGTTTTCCAGAAGGGAATAGAAGTGGAAACAAGATGGGGACAGTCATTTGATGTGATTTGACACCTATTAGCACCTATTCAAGATAATGCAGATAGAGATAGCACCTACTAGCACCGTATACATCTTTAGAGATGGGAATAAGAGCTCAAGATCACTCCCTGGATCTTTTGGAGGCGATGGAACCCCGCTCTTCATACTGGTCTAGAAAAGGTTCTTAAGGCTCGGTCCATGAATAGTCGATACTCTGTTGGTGGATCCTCTATTGTTCAGTGACTTTGAATCGAAGTAACCCTGAAAAATACATGTTACTGCTATGGGGGGACCTGGAAAGGCGTGTGAACACTGTGATCTTTTGTGCGAAGGCCGTCTTTGGACAGAATTTATCGTGTGGACATTATGGACATTTTACTTAACGAATTAGCGTATTTAGCCGTATGGACAAGAAAACAATACCGTACAAAAGCGTACCCATATGAAACCCAAGCTTTAGCAACATGTTATCGACAAAAACCCAAACAATTATATTGCTAAAACCCAATCCAACCCAATATTCGGAAGGAATTCCAGCAGATTTGTCCATTTGACAAAAAAGGCCGGATGCACGGATTTTTTGTGCGAACGTGTTTGAACAAAAACACATGCACATTTGGATTCCCTGGGAGACATGAAGAGGTGTGTGTTGATGGGTCACCATGGGAAAGCCGCCACGCCACGGCCGCTAGGCCCGCGGTCGGCTTTGACCATTGTTCCGTTCCGAGCTTGCGTCTCGGGGCCCATCCACCCAAAAGGTCCTAAAGTCACAGAACTTGAAACATCAAGAACAACATCAACACCAAGCTATCCCTGTATCTATCCCTCCCACACATGGTGTCCTTCCCGTTTCCACTCCCAAATGGTCCCCTATCCGCCACCGTGTGCCGTTTCTGGCAACGCGTGTCAGCCGCATCGATCCGTCACGAGCCGACCAGTCGGTCGGTCTGAAGGCCACGTTGCTGGCGCTTCGATCCATTCCTGAGAGTTTAGTGCCCTTCCAGCTGATCTCCGCAGTACTGAAGTGGGTCGATGGCCGCTGGGAGCAAGCGAGCCCCCGGTGGTCCGTCCGAAATTCGGAGGGACGGGGGACGGGGGTAAAGTGCGGAACGCCATTGGTCAAGGGGGTTCACTGGAGCGGAGACGGTGAAAAACCATGAAAAACCTTGAATTGGTGAAAGATGATTGAGCTATGTTGAGCTAATGCTGGACTCAAGTTTTCTTGTTTTCTGCTCGTTGTGTGGAGATGCTTGGAGATTAGTGGTATTTTGGTGCGAATAAACCATACAGACTCTGCTTCAAGCACAGGGCTACGATATCCTTTTTGTCCTCTTTGAACAATAAAACACAAACCAAAGGGAGTGCGCAAACATGTGCAAACAACCGCGTGGCACGATATAGTACGACATAGTACGATATAGAGTGTTCTTATTGCCTTTGAAACGAGTCTAAGCGATGTTGCACTTCGATTCCACTCAGGATGGCGAATGCCCGGCGGCGCAGGAGCCCCAGTTGCTTGCGAAGGGACCTCTTCGGGGCTTGGTCAACCAATTGTTGCTGTTCGCAAGGCATGGTCATGGCTTCCAAATACCCAGGGGACTGCGGCTGGCAAAAACCCTGCCCAAAATGGTGTCAACAAAAATACCCAGGTTTCATGACAGTTCCACGCTCGTGCGACCGAACTCGGGGGGTTGACCTTTTTTTGGTCGTTTGAACTCGATAAAGATCGCGTGATGTCGCTTCCAATTCCTGGTTTCGTATGGAGTTCAGAGGTGCGACAGAAGCTACTGAGTTCCAGTCATATCAGCAAGATATAATATATCAATCGATAAGTTGTTTTAATGTTGCTTGATCTAACGATTAGGTATGATTCCGTCTTACTTTTTGGTGTTGGTATCCTCGCCAAGATGATTTTTGCACGTGCATTGGCAAACTACTAGTAGTGTAAACCAAGAATTCAGATGGACAACCTCGGTCAAATGCTTCACAAACCTGCGGGCCTGAGAGCGCTGGGGTTTCATGTCAGGTAGTCGCGTCTATTGTTTGTTTAAGGCATTAAGGTCAGTAAACCAGATTTTGTTCTATAACATCCTATATATATATATAACTCCCCAATAAAGCTGTTCTTGTTCCTACAAGTACTCTCGGATTTCAGACTACAACCAATGTTCATTTTCTGGGGCTTCGTGAGATTGACCTGAGATTCGCTGCTATAGGTCTTGGTCTTTCTCCCTGGATGGCATGAGATCGTGGCTTTGACCGCACGGAGAGGCACCCATTATGTTCGGTGTTGTTTTCATGCCATGATCATGTTACTTGTACGTGTCTCCGGGGGGCTAGATCTGATAGCAGGTATTATAATAGTGGTCATAGTGGTCCACAAATAGATCGAACCGATGTCCAAAATCATGTGTTTATTATGTATAATTGGGTGCCACGACATGTACAGTACCCAAGCACACCATGTATGGAATATCTACCGACATCTACCGACTACATTGAGGTGGTTTCAAGGGTCAATGTGAGTATATAATATATTCCATAAATCGAGTGTTCGGGGTACTGACAGCATGACTTGTTTTTTAGTTTTTGTCCGGCAAATCCTGCCAGACTTGTCGGGTCAAGATTGCAAAGGTGATACATCTTTCCTTTGGCCCTCTTGAACTTGTGACGCACGATGTAGTCTCGTTCATGATAGACCTTTAACATGTTGGGAAGACTCGCTTGCGATCACAAAGTGGGTATCAGCACCTCACTCCGATCTCCAAGTCGCCTCATTCGTTCTATTTCGAAGACCTTTTCTGACCTCAAGACCCTCGATTTCAGTTATACCATGTTAATTATACCATGTTTTTCATGCCCAGACACGACCTGTTGGGACTGGCGACACGACCTGTTGGGACTGGCATAGACAAGTGATCAATTGAGGTGGTTGAAATCTCAGAGGTCAATGGTGTGACACAAACACGTCCGCGGTATGGCTCCAAACACTCGCGTCCCCCACAACAGACACCCCATGGCTAAGAACAGGACCCCTGGCTCCGGCGTGTGAGATCTCCCTTCCGTTTGACCCCCCCAAAATGAAGACATAGAGCAAAGTCCAGGAAGTCTCCCTACTACATCACGCCACACTGATTGATGTAGACTGTTGTAATTCGGACTGTTAATTGACCCCTCCCCTCCCCTATTTAGATTGTGAAACCTCTTACAGGGAGTGGCTTTATATGGTACAATTGTGAATCAACAGTCAACACATGTCAACACGTTGCTGTGCACCCTTTGTCCGCGGTCAGCTCGACCGACGTCCCCGGCGCCACATTCAAATTTGGCTGCTGCATTGTAGAAAACTGGGCTTCGTGGCACACACTTACCATGAAGACGCTAAGTTCAGACCAAAATGTTGGGGACCAACCCGGACCACCCGGACCAACATCATACAAAACTTAAGGTTGTCTTGGAATTTGGGTCTACGTTCATCGGATCATAGGCCGAAAAGCCAAAAACAAAAATATTAAAAACACCCAAACACCACCAACCGCACGACCGATCCTCCGGCCGTGGGGCTTCTTTTTTCCGAGGCGACGTGCATGTCACGCATGCAACGGGACCCGGCGTTGCGCCGCTGGGTGGCGAAACCGGCGGACCGTGGCGAAGCGGGAGGACACGAGGAATTGAGGAGGGATCGGATGAGGCATTCATGGTCTTCATGGTGGTGTTGGTTGAATTCGTTTGTTTGGTTTCATTCAGCAACTTTTAGTGTGGAATATATATTGGAAGTATCTTGAAGCAGCATACATCAAAGGTCACCAAACAACGGATGCAGTGAGCTCAGTCAGTTCATGAGAGAGCAAGGAGGAAGGTGATAAAGTTATAATAGAAAAATCAACGCCCGCAGAATGACCATCAAGATCGCACCATAATCATGTGTGTGTGTTTTTGCGTAAAGAACACAGTTTGTTTGGATCGTAAGCCTGTTTGGATCGAAAGTGGATGCCTATGGCCGGCCCAGGAGGCTATGAGTTCGTGCCCTTGCACAGCCGCCTGGCCAGAAGATCTTGTCTCGATAGTGAAAGGTAATATGGTAAATGATGGTAAATGAAACCTGTTATTTCGGGTATGTTCGCCCACTTGTGCCATCGAGCATCTAGAGAGAATTTAGATATACCTATGCCACCTAAAGCATAATGTTTCATGACCGTCCATAACTCGCTCAAAACCACTCTCAGAGCCGATACCACTCGCGGCTGAAGCTTTAAAACTGAGGCTTTGAGAGTCGTTTCTTGTTTTCAAGTAGATAGAAGAAGCGCTTTCCAAGACATTCTTAGTGGAGTTCTACTTCATTCTACTTTTCTATCTATTTGGTGGTCTATTTTCCAATACATTCTCAGTGGGGATCTACTTTTCTATCTATTTATTTGGGGGTCGGTGTCCGAGGCTCGGTGCCTCCCAACGAGCAGTACAAGGCCTTTCATCCTGCCAGCAGCGGACGCAAGGCACCGAGCGATGGATGATTGCTGGGAGGGGTGGGATTCCTCTAAGAAAACGCGTCCAATGAGTTTCGTGTGGTGTTTCTCTTTGCCAAAAAAGACAGTGGGACGGAACAACTGGTTGGTGGTTTCGTTGAAAGCGCCGTTTCATGTTCAACCGTCCACCAGTCTGGGGCCCTTGGCGGTATGCCAGGACATACCAGCTGGTGTAGGATGTTCTTCCTCAAAAACAACTAACTTTGAGATTTGAGGACATGGTGACATGATGTTCTTTTGCTTTTAAGAGGATCTCGAAGTGAAAACAGGAGGGCGACGTAGGACATGTTGACATGGCCATGGACATAATGGTGATGCCTCGAGAAGAAGTGCCTGAGCCATCCATGTTTGGGCATAACCTCGTGCCCAGGCAATCCTGAGCACTGACATTGCTGAGCAGCTGAGAAGCACTGGGTTTGGACAACAGCTGGGTTTTGGTTGCGGGGATTCGTTTCCATCCAAACAGCGATGGTCCCTGACAGACTGCGCCTTCACAGCAGGCGTTCCATGTGGGTCGATTTTAAGGTCCTAAGCGAGTGGATGTTCTGGGCACACCGACTTCCTCCATGGATAGCCCCCCCCTTTGGAACTGGCAAGTTGTTAACTTTTGTCCAGCAATGTTTGATTGCAATGTAGATTACGGGATCATCATATTACAAGCAGACATCTAACGGGATCATCACATTACAAGCAAGCATCTAACACTTGTAAAGGATCGTCAAGGCATGGCATGAGATGGCTCACCCTCACAGGTCTTGGCAGGCTTTTCTCAAGGGTCATATTCTTGGAAGCAAGTTTGGTTCCACTCTTGGTGATAACATCCAGACATATCCAGATTGTTCTTGCATGTGTTTGTTCATGTGTGCTGTTGTGTTCCTAAGTGTTTCATTGTTTTTCTACTATGTTTTCCTATTGTTCCTGCTTGTGGAAGAGCACGTTGCATGTGCTGCCACTATTGGCCGGCCATTCAGGATCGGTAGCATGTACTTGTAGGAACAAGGTCATTCTGAGATTCTGGGTGTGGACAGTCTCCAAACGTGGTTGTTCCCGTAACTGTTCGACCAGCCACTGCTTTGGAAAACGCAAAGCTGACTAGCCGGAAAGAAGCAGCAGCTACAGGGGTACCGGGTTGAAAGTGGCACACTTGTTGAAGGATGTCCAAGATACTACTCGTAAGAGTGAGCATATCATATCATCTCCGTGGCCGTGGTTGGGTCAACGTCCGGCCACCAATCCAGAGAGGCGGTCCAGAGTCCAGAAAGCACCTGCTCAGGACCTCCATTACTATTCCAGACATCATTTGCGTGGTCGATACTGGCCTGGCCCGGGTGAAGAAGCATACCAACCTCGAGGTGACAGCCGATGTCCGGCTACTGTCCACCACTTTCTCAGTGCTTTACCGGAGCCCTCCGGCGGATTTGACCTCGTTTTTCGTCTACCAACGGTCTTTGGTGAGCCCTGGTGGCAGTATGAAGATGTTGTTGATTTTAGTTATTGGTTTTCGCGGTGACCGAATGTCTGTGGTGTTGGCAACCGCCTCGAAGAAGGAACTTACCTCGGTCGGGATTGGTGCAGTATCTCCTTTGATGTGTGCAGTATCAGTATCCGGTGTCCATCATTTGTTTTTGTAAATTAGGTAGATGATGCCTCTAAAGGTTAGATCGCCTGTCTTCCAGAAACGTCTCCCAACGCCAGGTGGTGTGGGCCAGTCAAGCCAACCTCCTGCAGCGCTGTGGGCGTGCAGGACGCGTGCAGCATGGCAGTTGCGTCACTTGGAGACTGAACACAGCAGGGTGCCACGAAAAATGAACACAGCAGGGTGTCCTGTTGGACATGAACTCACAGGTTTCCGGACCCGGTCTGTTCATACAGCGCACAGCGGGGGACAGCTGGGTCGGTGGATGGAGGATGTTGGAGGTATGACACAGAAGCACGTTTCGATGCACTGCCAGAAGCATTTCGATTCGGAATGACTCAGAAAAGGGCTGGAATATTGAGGGAAGAGTGATAGACCATGAATGACAGACTTAATTTACTCAGATTCACTGCCGGAGGGAGAGCGAGACATTGTTTGCTTCAGGGGATGCAAGAAGACGAGCTGTTTCGAAGAATTTAATTTTAGGGGAACATGGGAAAGCCAACTCGGTGGTGGGAATTCCGACCTGGTCTTCCTGGTTCTGATGTGACGGATGAAGAATTTCCCAGACACACGAGCGGCATGGAATACAGTGATTCACCTTCGGGGGACGACTTGCTGTTCTTTTTTTCCATGGAGTCGACTTGGGCGTTTCAACATGTGAAGGCCCCTGGGTTTGCCGGTTTACACTCTTTGTGAACGTTCTATAAGTGAATGTCTTGGTGAAGATGGTCGTTTTCATGGTCACATGCGCCAAAACACATGTCTTACAGTGGGACTTGTTCCACCTCTTCACCCGGTCGAGCCCTCCACCTCTTCACCCGGTCGAGGTCCACCTCTTCACCCGGTCCCGCTTTGGCCTCCTGGATCCCGAGCCCACTCCCGTGCCGTGGCATAATAGAGAAGGGGTCAAAACCTGGAGCCCTGGTAGACCGTGCAGCTTGACCTTCGGAAGGGTAGGTCAACCAAGGTATTCTGGTGCCATGACCCACAGCCATATAATAGCCTCCTTATTACAGAAGAAAACCGTTCCTTTTTCTGACACATTAGCCTTTTTTGAGAGGTTTTATACATTCGTTCTTTCAAGCAAGGGGAGGTCGAGATGAGGCCGAGGTTGAGATGATTTATATGCTGATTTATGTCTTGAGGATCGTTGAAGAATCATCCGTGGCATCCCAAAAAACTCCAAACCCGTGTGACCTGGTGACCGACTGGTCAAGACGGTCACTTCTTTAGTCGAAACACTTCCACCGACCTGTTTTGTGCTAGTCCTTTCATGTCCTTTCCGTCCAGCCGCTCAGACTCGTTTGGATGAGGAGATGCGCCGTGTGCCCCTGGATGAGGCTATGCTGAGCGTTTGCGATTTGGGCTTAGCAGCTTGGCCAAGCTTGCAGAGCCGAAAACTGACGAAACCAGCAGAGCCAAGCCCCGAAATCCTTTCGCGCATGTGAACTAGCAGGGCTTCTGTACGGTGTTTCGGGTGAGTCCTGTTTGAAGGCCCGTCTGACTCCTCGGTACATGGACCTCCCTTTGGACGCACCACCGGCTTTGCTGAGGACTTCTGTAAGGCGGAGGATGTGAGCCCGCAAGAGTTGGAGGCGACCGGGAAGAACAGGATCAAACCATTGGAAGGTCTAATAGACCATATATTATAATATTTGATAATTGTTAGAATATATGAATCCGTGCACAGATGTTGGAAATAATAGCTGGAACTACTGGAACTCTATATACATGTTTTACTCTATCAGGTTGTCCATCAAAATTTCCATCCGTAAAAGTAGAGGAGAAAGACAGCTGAGATTCAAGCAAATGATTTTTGGATTACGAATAAACCACTTCTCTCTCACCGTCACAGTCACCGGGGTGGCTCCATCCGAACACCGCTAGGAGACCGGTCCTTGCGCCTATGTGATGTCCTTCCTCAAGCAAGCTCCGGATCCACCGGAGCCCAAGGATGCGCCGAGTCGATGGTGAAGGATGGGTGGAATCCACGTCGTTGGAGAGGACCGAAGGGTGGCTGCGAACTTGATTTACCATGAGTCTCCACCTGTGGTCTTGGGGGGCCCCTGTTCAGTTGGCCTCATGCCTGCCACTTTGGCTGCGTGCGTCTATACACCTGAATCGTCTAGAATCTGTGTTGGCCATCCACATGGACTCCGCACATTGACTCCGGAGACCGTCTCATCCGTCTCGCTCGCGCCAGCGGGCTGGGGTTTTCACCCTCTCCGAACCCCTTCGCGGTGCGTCGGCCGACACTGGACACCGGTGAGACGTGCAATAAAAGACGGTCAAAACAAAGGTGAACAATCCACACCCTGAGCATCGGTGATTGATTCCAATCAATAGAAGCTATACTTCCACGCAGGAACATGCCGCAACATGCCAAGAAGACACAGACATCCCGTGGTGTTTTTTCCCCCGAACGACTCTTACGACTCCAGCTGCTGCAATGGGGCGCGCACAAAAACAAAGAAAAACATGGAAGCACCGAGTCTACACTGCCCTACACAGTGTGGAACAACACGGTCCTACACAACGGCATTATATATATACCTCCAATCCTCCCCTGGAACACTGTTTTGGTGCCTCTTTCGCCAAGGTGCGCAGCGCCTTCCGGGAGCTGCAGCATGTGGGCGCTCTGGACCGCGCTGGCCGCTTGGACGACGCGCGTCGGTGGTCGATCGGTAGGACACCGGAGGAGGAAAGCGACGGAAGACGAAGACGTGCCGCGGCCTTTGGCCCACTTGGGATACCCTGAAGCGATCCAAATGATTCCAATTGACACTAGCCCATTGACCCTGGTTGTTCGAACACGGATTTGTCTCTAGATGTGTAACGCTTATGTGCCGGTTTTATTTTTTTTTTGGGGGGAGGCATCGGCTTCGGCTGCCTCATTCTAACATCTCTCGCCTGTTCTTCATGAGTTTGCTCCAAAGGAAGGAAAGCCCCATGATTGCATGATGCCTTCATAGCAGGTTTAGAAGAGCTTATGTAATACAGCTTAACAAATCAATTAGCTTCCCCAGCAAGTCCAAAGGACGGATTAAATGGTGCATTGACCCACTGGGTTCTATAGAGAAGAATGGAGAGACTTGCAGGAGATCTGCGGCCTTCCGGTGTATTGCAATGTTCTGCCATCTGCCCACCATCTGAGGCTTCCTCACGCACTTGGGTGCCTTGTTGGTGCGTTTGCCCATGTCTCCAGGTGCGCTGACACCGCCGATCTCACTGCTGGGAGCTTTGGGAGCTGCTGCTGAACGGAAAAGATATGACCTCTTGGGAATCCTTCAATGTCCTTCAGCTCCTTCCAGAGTTGGTTTTGTTGGTTTCCTATTGAGATCTAGTACACTATATATCTATACATGTAATACATATATAGATGGATAGACGCGTACGCGTCTTAGACATGGGGATCGATACTGCCTTGTGAGGTTTTTGTTTTGTTTTGTATTTTATTAAGTGTTTTAAGGTATACTGCACATTTTTTTTACACACAGATTCAAGTTATAGCAAAACAGGCTGAGAGTCGTCACTCACCCATCAAATGTTCCGTCTATAGTGGTACCTCCATGTACTACCTGTTACTAACTTTTTTCTGCCAGCGGCCAGATCATGTATGGTTCCACCAGATGATGAGAAACAAGCGAAAGGCACCCAACATATTTTTGATGGGTCCTGGGTGAACAGTTTTCGGCGTCGACGGTCCTTGTTGATGTTCTGGATGTGCAAACCAGGGGCATCACGTGTTTTTTTTCCACCCATCCGCTTGTTGGTTCGGTTGTCCCCCCACCTTCACAATTGTTTCATAATTTGGGTAGTAACATTCGCTCATATGACTATGTCTCATAAAGATGACACCCCAAACACCCAAAACCATTGTATTGGACATCCAAGTCACAACAAACGTCACGCGTGCGATGAACACTTCTCATTCCCTTGACTCACGTCACCTCGCGACCATATAGTTGGTCTCCTTGAGGCCTTGGTTGTGCCTTCTACTTGGCGTCGCTCTTGGGCTTTCCAGAGGCCGCCAGCCAGGTCTGTGCCGCCTTGGATGGCCGCGAGCCCTTTGGCCGACGACCGAACGAGGAGCGGAAGGTGAGGTTCCGGTGACCAGAGGCTCCGTTCGGCCCCTAGTAGCATCCTTGCCCCTAGTAGCGATGCCAGGAGCCCCTAGTAGCTTCTTGTTCCTAGTAGTACGGCCAGGAGCCCCTAGTAGCGTCCATCCAGTGAGTGGATTAATGTGGATGATATAGTTTTGGGATCCCATGCCGATTAAAACCCGATAGAATCTGGGAGGTCGAGCTCAAAACGACCATCAGATTTTATAGACACTTTTTCTCTAGAATGAGATGTCAACCTACCTGAAAAAAAAAAAGCTAGCCCTCAAAAAAGTCTATTTTTCATCATGCCCAATAGGTTGAGCTATTCCATTTTATAGAGAAGGCATGAACATACACTATTTTTAAAAAAGATAGAGGTTGTAGGTTTTGACCTTTATAGGCAGCAAGTAGAAGGCGGAGAATTGATTTCAGAGTGGATGGTGTGTTGTGAGGTCAGGTAGGTTGATATCTCATTGTATAGAAAGCGCTTGCATATGTGGAGGCTTGATATGTGATGTTATAGTACTTGCTATGAACAAAACCGCTTCCTCCGCAGAATGATGCCCTAATTTTAACCCTGCAGTGTCCAAACATGTCTCTGTAGAGTCACAATCAACCTCTTGTGCCACTTTTGTCCAATAATTTTCTCACATAAGTTTCTACCTTCATACTGCCACTTCTCTCTCTCTCTATATATATATTATATATATAGTATTATATATAGAATCAACTTCAACCTTGGATTTGTATCATTGCTTTTCTCAAATTCTGGCATAAAGAATTATTGATGAAAATACTAGCTTTTGCAAAAAGGTTGAGCTTAACCCTTTTAACATACTTTATATATACTGCAATAGGTTGAGAGTTCACTTTTATCGTAGGTCATTCTGCCCTTTGCAGTGGGTTTTTCGTGTTATCCGTATAGAACAGGGGATGTTTTGGGGTGTCCTAGTACCTTTAACGGTCGGGTTCAATGATTGTCACGATTCCACTCCTACAGGGACTGGGGATGTACCCAATATAGTATAAACACCCAACCCTGGTAACCCCAGCTACTCAACAAAGGCAAACATGACTCGATGTGCACGCAGGAGAGACAGAGCTGGAGACACGAAACAAACACAACAGAACGGCTCACTGATCGGATGTGCCAATGTTGCAGAGTGAAGTTCTTCATATGTTCAAGCAACATCAACCAATGCATGTGCTCATATGTTTTCCAACCTGAACTTCCCCTATTTTTTTTATCACCCCATGGAGTAGAAGGTGCTTCAGTGTCTTCATGTGTCCACTTCAAAACATCTTCAATGATGTCAATGAACAGCAGGAATTGGAGGCCTGGCCTTTGGGGCAAGGTAAAACACACACACATCCCCACATGCCATCCCAGTGGCTCCCACCTCCGCCCCCTGTTCCACCCCCCGACTCCCGGCGGTCAGGAGTCGGGCGCGCGGCGCTTCGCCGCGGGCTCCGACGGAGAGAAGCGCTGGAGCGACGTCTTCGCCATGGCCAAAGCCCTCGGAGACCGCCAGCGTTCGGCGAAACGGGGTGGTTCGGTCGGCCGTTGAGTCTGTGCCCGGTGCCCTGGGGAAGCGGTTTTGATGGGGTTGAGTCGTTGAGGGTTGGTTGCGGCTTAAGCCATGGGCGTGCTGGATGCTTGGGGGCCCCTGGGGTGGAGGCCACGTGGAGGCGAAGGTCCGGGAGAGTAGGTGGGATCAAGGCAAGAAGAGGAAAAATGAAGGGCAGGACTTCCAGTGCTTTGTGTTGTTGGGGGAGATGCGAAAGAACGTTTGAAGGCACCATTTCATTGGCCAAATTCATTGATGTCCTTGGCCAGCCCTTGGGAATTCCTGGGTCCTGGCTGTTGATGAAAAGGCTGGATGAAGCATGAATGATCATGAAAACGCTGCAACCTGAACACCTCGTGGGAACACACAGTTATTATGTTTCCTGTCAGCAGGTTTGGATGGTACCTCATGCAGGAGCCATAGTGAATAATGGACAATCATTAGCACGCCTTGCGCCCTGAAAACTGATTGTGTGTCCGTGCATGCAATGCAGCAAGGAGACTTTGAATGGGCTTGCAGGCAATCAAGCACCTATGCTGGACGTGCCTTTGCACTGTGTTCAGTGAACGTTTTTGTTGCAGCAGCATCAAAGGACCCCACAATGTGAAGCCTGTATGAGGCTCGTCATTCCTTGGAATTCTGGACCGGAGTATGGGTGCGTCAGTGTGAGGTCTCGAAATGGATATGTGAGCGTGTAGGTCCCGATATATTTGTAGTAGTCCCTTTGGTTGGTGGTATTAAAACCCAGCCCATTAGCCCTGGTAAGGAAAGATTCGTGATTTGTTTTTGGAGTAAAGTAGTCCGACGATGACCATTTGTGTGGTGGGGAGTTGCCTTCAAATCACCGAAATGGGATATGACAGATATGAGGACCCAGCAACATCTATAGCTTGAGTCGGCCCACCCTGCGGTGTTTCTCAGGGCGTTTCCCATAACTATTCACTATAATTAACTTATTCTGTTAATCAGGTTCCTCTACATGCAGAGATGTGCTCCATGACTTTGAGATCTTGGAGCTTTCCTCCTTTGGCCACGAGGCTTCTGTCGGCAGTTTGGCCTCATTCAACCGGTGCTGCAACAGTTGCAAAGCGCGCAGCAGCAGCTGAAGAGGACGGGACCTGGGCGACCCGGTGTCGTCCACGGACACGTGGACGCGGGGTGCCTCGCGGCGCGGCACACGAGCGAAACAGGGAGCAGCCTTCTTCTCGTGCATCATAGTGATCTTATGAGGGAAAGGTGCTGACTTGCAGGAATGCTAGTGCCAGGGCAGGATTTCTGCAAAATAACACATGATTCATTCATTGAATTAGGTCCAGATATGGCTGTCAATCATAGAATCATTGTTCGCTCACCCAGAGGTGGATTCCAGATTCCCCAGGTCTCTGAGACCCTGCTTTGCCCAGGGTCTCCTGGGATTTGTGCAGACCCTTCTGGAACTGGAACTGGAACGACGCAGGCATCGATTTTTCTCGCCGAGGGTGTTTATCGGTGTGGACGTGGTGGGAGAATCATGGACGTGCGGACGTGTGCACTGACTTTTCCCGCTTCTTCTTCTTGTCCCCAAGGTGATATTTTGTGATCAAAAGTGGTACTTGGTGTTGAGGGAAATTCAATCCAAAGTTTTTAGACATCCCTGGCATGATTAGATAAGGTCCTTTGTAGATCTTCAAGGATCCAGCCCAACAGCCGCTTCAATTGACGATATTGGCGGCTTGGATTGGGGTCCACAAACCGCAAGCGATGTTGATGTATTGCTATACTGTTTGAACACACGTCGCAAGATCTCAGAGCGTGTTTGCCGAACTACGCAGCAAGAATCCACAGAAAGGCTACAGGCAAAGCAATCCAGAAGGCATTGGAGCATCAGCGCCGGTTGATTTGGGCTGTTGGCCACGTTAAATGGTCCTACGAAAGAATCGCCCTGGCTGGAAATGGATGTGATTCCCGGCCTACAAGATGCCAATGGTGGCATTGGGTTTTGGATCGCAGAAGTGGCAAGGTGCTCCCCTCCACCAATCCGGCAGAATTGGCAGCATATGTTGAAACCAAAAGCAAATCTACCCCAGGGTGCGCTGACGTTGTCATGCTCTGCAAGTTTTGGAACAAGCATTGCAAAGCCGTGTGTGGCGATGGAGTACAGCGATGTCCACACCTTGCTTCACATCGAAACAGTTCCCACTTTGACGGGCCCATACCTTCAAGGATAGATGAGGCTTTACCTGCATCTCTTCAAAGCCACCTTCGAAGCCACCTGTATTCCTCACCCGTGCCTTCAAGTTGGACAGGTCGACCAGTATAGCATGTTATTTTAGAAGAAGATGCTCAACTCGTGCTGCAGCTACGGAACGTGAGTTGAGGCATGCGGAGCGATTGGCTGCTTCAATACTAGGGAGCCAAAGTACAGAAGAGTCTGTAGACGTGCTGCGTGCCATCTTCGCATTAAGTAACAAATTAACTCCTTGAGCAGAATCACTGGAATTGGCTTTGACGATGAGCCGGTGGACGGGCTTTGACGTTAACTGGTGTTGCTGGAGGAGGGCGGTGGCTTCACCAGAGAAAACCTTGCTACCATATGCTATCATAATGCCCTTAAGCCCAAGATTTGGAGGCTCACTTTTGCCGCCGTCTAGAGGACCGTTCGATGTTGGAGTCGGGTCTTGGGATGCTTCCAAATGTCTTGGGGCGCCCGTATTTAATGTGGGTTTAGAGTTGAAGGGTGGGTGTGCAGGGTGTGAAGATGTGGTGTTGTCCAAAACTGAACTGCAGAGGTGAACCCCAACGAGCAGGTAAAAACAAATACAAACCTGTTGCAGAATTGGCTGTGGTACCAAAAACCTCACCGTGCGCTCGACCCTGGTAGGTTGACGTTGACATCCCTGATTCTATTTACTTGGATGGACGTGAGTTCAGATTGGGGTGCAAACACAGCCACCCCAGTACCCCCAGCGAAGCTGAAGGGCATGGTGGCGCCTGCACAATATTCGCTCGTACGTGTCGAGTGTATGTGCGTGTGTGATTTCGGTCCTGGCGTACCTTCAGAATTCATTTCCTCCGCTTGGGCAGCACCTGAGCCCACCATGTCCATGGCATCCTCGTCTCATCGGCAGGTGACGAGGGTAGGGACAGCTTGGAAGATGCCTGGCCCATCCTGCAGATGCTCGGCCGAACGGAGGTTGTGGGAGGCAGAGGCGGATCCCTGTTGCACCGCCCAAGATGAACAAAATCACGGCTTTATGCATTATGGACCATGGAATAATATTCGGACCGCTCTCTGCTCATTCGGAGGACGCTCTCATATGGCAAGTGTGGTCGCATGTTTGGACTGGATGTGGACTCACGGGATGTCCTCGTTGACACGACGTCCTGACCGACCCTTTGGCCGAGGACCATGCTGACCTTCGCGTACGGCTGGAACATGGGCAAATTGGATTCTGGTCTTCGAAGCCGGGAGAACTGCGAAGGGACACGATGGACGTCTACTGCTCCACGTGCAACTCCCAAGACGTCGAACACAGGAAAACGGCGACTGAGAGCGGCCCTGGTTCTTTTTTGGCGCCTGTCGAGGATACAGCTAGATGGAACCAGTTTCCCGATGTTTTTGGATCCCGAGTGAACTGCTAAAGATTAGACCCTTGTGCTGTGAGAAACAAAACGTGGGTTGACATGTCAGATGGGTCCAGGAGAGGTGCCAATTGACTCCCAGGCGACTGCCGCAATTTTCCACAAGCACTCGACCAGAGAAGATCCCGCGTTGAAGAATAGAAGTGAGGCGCTGCTGCCCGATACCTATCTCGTTTGTTGAATCGTTTCAGGACGATGACGATGAACCAAATCCCTAAGAACAAACGACCATGTCATGCAGAAAAAGCAACCCTTGCAAAACGACCAGTTCCGGTTGGTTCCGTTGGGCAGCCAACTGGGATCGCCTCGTTGGGGAGCCGTGCGACCGATGTTGAGGAGAGTGGCCGCCGGGTGCACGCCGGCTGGTCCAAGCCCGCGCGGCTGGCAAAGACCTCGGCCGCTCGGAGGATTGCAGGGAGGTGCATGTGTTGAGTTGTTATTCACTATAATGAATTGAACAGAAATTTCGATGGTAATAACCTGGTATCTTAAAGTAATAAGTAATACATAAGCTGTTACAGGGTACGGCTGGGATGGGGTGAAAGTCGCGGTAGAGGTGACCTGGGGCTGACCGTGGTTTTGATGGTGCTGTGGTATGCTTTGGTCATGTTTGGTCGAGCTGCTTCGCAAAAGTGCATCACTTTCGCTTCGGATGTCCGGGGTGGGTCACCTTGGGGAAGGCTCTCACGGAGGTTTCCAGGTGTCAGAGAGGAGGCTATTCCAACGTTGTAGGTTGTTTGACGGCACTGAACATCGACCATTTTTTTGTTGAACGTGATACGCAGCTCGTTATGCAAAAAGATTCAATCGTTCCATCTATACATGTTTGTACATTATATATATATATAACAATTGCAGGTGTTGATGGAGTTCACACCAGAGTTCATGGACACTGCGGAATAGTGACTGCCAGCTGGTGGCAGTTTTGTACAGCGTGATCACGGTGATCACGTGATCACCATTCAGGTCTTGGTGGACGAGGATCCTCCATGTCAGTTCCTGACCTATGTGGAGCTCACCAATAGCGGAGGAAGGATGTTGCGGGGAGGTGCGGGAAAAAGTGTCGAGGTTGGCCTTTGCTGAAAATTCAGCTCCATGAGAGAGACCCACTGCCAGATGTTGATCACGGGGTGGAGGTTCATCCGAAGCATTTTGCTTGGCGTTGGGATATCAAAGAGGCTGGGGCTAGAACAGCCCTTATCATGCCGTGGCAAGCAACACCAGGTACTGTAGAATCCCTATGGTTCAAACCACTCCTCAAAAGGCGGTTAGATCCTCGCGGGCACAAACCCCAGCCACCCTCTACTTGTCGGATGTGGTTGGAGCCGGAAAGGAATTTATAGATATATATATACTATATTATATTGCATTGGGTTTGTCCTATAGCCTATGACCTGTGACAGTCAGTAAACGATTATCACTATGTTCAAGAAAGGCCTGGAACCTAACCATCATCCACTGTTACTGGTAATGGGTTATAGTTTGTTGCTTCCGGGCAACTCCAGGGGTGCTCCTCTGCCCCCGTGAGCCGGCGAGGTACCATGGTGACACCACAGCAGCTGGTCTTTTGTGGAAGCCGTGCAGGGCCCTTCTGGCAAGAGGAGACTTTTGGGGCAGGAGACATGGTTGGGCTAGAACTTTCATGCGCCTGCGAGGTGAGCGAATGGAGCAACATGGTTAAGAGAATCATACCGAAGAGAGTCATGTTTAAGATTGCTCAATGAGCAAATCTGCAATCACGTATATAGTTCGTCTGACACACAGATGTTTTAGGGTTTTTTTAAGTGGCATATGCGTTCAGGTGGTGCAACTGCAACTGCATATCCCACTTAAAGGATTCTGTCGACGTGGCGTGTTTGGCCGATGTGTTTTGCGGTCGCCACGAATCGGTCCGGTCGGTCCACCCTTTTGCGGTGCAATTCGGGATGCGAAGGGATGCCGGCTCCGGCGACTCTACCAGCAAGGATGCCAGGGTAGCATGAGGAGTCCAAAGGATTCCACAGGATTTCCAAAGGTTCATGCTTTAAAGAACTTCAAACAACACTTTGGACATCTTTGGATTTTGGAGCACCAAGTTGTTTGTCCCAAAAAGGACATGGTGGTCCTCGAGAATTGGCTGGAGATCGAGGCAGGAAGCATCCACATTCCAAACTCCCAAAGCGCCAATGACTGCTGGTGTGGGTGGGAGCTGTGTGGGGAGGGATATGCCGTAAACCCAATTGAACCTCAAACACTGAATGAGCAATTAAATACAATTAAACTATTTCGATCAGTTCAAAACATAATTACCAAGCAACTCGTGTTTGCTCTTTCTGCTTGGGGCCCCCGAAGCAGGCCCGGGGCTGACCGCACTTCCGTCCAGTCGACAGGCGGACTTCGAGTCAGCAGCCTTGTTGGCAGCCTTGCGGAGCTGCAACCGTCTGGCGCGGCGACGCGCGGTCTCGCGACCGCGACGACGCGATGTCTTCCCGCGTTCCGCACGTCCAACAGGAACTCGCCGTGATGGACGCTGGCGAAAATAACAAGGCACTAAAATGTAAACTGCCTGAAATCATCTTGGAAGTGGATGGCATGGCCCCCCTGGAAGACCATTGTCCTCGAGATTGTAACACTTCCATGACCTTCCATGCTGGTTTGAGGGGGGGGTATGCATTGGAACATCCGTAGATCGATCGCTTGGTTTCAACAATTCATGAATGACTATGAATTGATGGACGTGCCCAGATAGGCGCACTGTGTTGTTGAGCGGCAGACCCATCTTTTTGCAGCACAGCACATTCTATCCAATATTATGTTCAATATAATATGTTCATGTTTTCAGGGTCATGCAGTAGGGTGGTTCTTGCATCAATGCTGATGAAGGTGAGTCACTGAAACAGAGCTCCGTGGAACATGCAGGTCTTGCAAAAGGTGGCGGAGCTTTCTTTGCACGTGACTTGGTCCAACTAAATCGAGACCGAACACTTCTCAAAAACGGGGCCTCAGAACGATGGAAGTGGATGGCATGGCCCCTTTCTGCTGATCGAAGACTGAGCTGGAGGGGTCTCACTCCAAGATGTAGCGTATCATATGAAATCGAAGTGGACACTCATATGACCAGGCTTGTTTTTGCTCGCTCCGCCGCCCTCAGGCATCCGTCATGTTAACATGACGGATCGGGGGGTCACCCCCTGCAGTGAGGGATGGAAGGTTCAGTGACCGAGGCTGTCAAAGTTTCTCAATGTGATGTACCATGATACCCATGCAGGCAACTGAATCATATACTCTTTGGATCACTTCGGAGATTGTGGATCGTTCACCTAAAAAAAGTAGTGATTAATAATAAAAGGTATCGGGCCGGGCTGTTCCTAAACCGGGCAGTCCAGCACAGTCCAGACACTGGGAGTCCAGCACAGTCGCTCCGCTGTTTCTTTGCTCACCGAGGATATGAAGGGCGGTTGGGTGGAATGGACGCCTGAGCGCGAGAGATTGCTTGAGATGATTCAGATCCTCAACTGCAGCAGTTCTGAGAGTGCTGCGAGTTCTGAAGGAAACACCGAAGACTCCAATTCTGATCATGGACGAGGATTTGTCTTCACAACCGCAACCGGTTGAAAATCAGTGTTCCTGGTGATCATTATGGGGGGGGGAGTTTGAGAAGAAACCACGTTTTGTCTAATAAATATCGGTTATTTTGTAGCCAACACATCCCCAAAATGCAGTTTATGTCATTCGGTCACACATGATTTTTTAGCAGGGCTGAATTAGCCATCCCATCATACATGAGTCGCGTTTATTCGCAGAGAAAGGTATTTGTTGTGTTCTTTTTCGGAAATCATCCGGAATCGAATGGAGTGGGTCTCGTTCAGCCATTCGGTATACGTTCTCTTTTTATAGGCACGTTTTATTTGTTTCCGAAGGCCATTTTGGCAATGAGCACATTTGGAAAGGTCATGTTGTGGAGGTTTTTGGGGGATGCAGCCCTATCATTCGGTAAAGTCAGACAACAGCCTTGGCATTACAGATGTCCTGTTACAGGATGCATCAAATTGCTTTTGGGATCTATTGTCTAGGTCCCCTTCTTGCTTCCTTGAGGTCACTTCAGGCCAGGACATGAAATAAGGCATGAACAGCAGGCCAACAGAAGGCTCGAGTTCCCAATCGCCACAAGAATGAGATCATGATCTCAAGGGAGCGAAACGAGGTGCGCGTACTTTTTAACTCAAGAACTTGGGCGATCCGGTCTTCCTCCCGTGCACACCGGCACGGTGTTCCTCGTCGCCGTCGTCCCATCGTCGCCCGTCGTCCAGTGACAGCAAAGGAAGTGGAAGAATTGCATCATTCAAGTCGCAAGGCTGCCCCTTCCAGAGACGTGGCTGCGAAGACCGCAGGGTTGGCTGTCGAAACGTATGCTGACAGTCGATTAATATATGCCCTGAATATTCGGTGGATTCAGAATCAACTGTCAACATGCCCTGACGGTCAACATGAGTCAGCTTATGTTTATGCTTTCAGCAATTCGAGTTCGCTTTCTCTTTCGCGGGACGGGGTGGGTGAACGGGCGTCAACGGTTGGGAGAACTGGCCGAAGTGCCGAGTTCGCGATCGCTTGGTTCATGATGCTTCATGCCCAGACACTCCATGGAACTGGAATATCTATGCCCTGAAATCAACCACCCCAATGGATGCAAAGATGCCAGTCCCAAACAGGTTGTTTGGGATGGGACGGATTTCCAGCATATCCCACAAACCAATCAACCCCAACTGATCGGTCGTGAGGTCGGCTTGAACATACAAGAACATCCCAGTGGAGCTGCTGTGTCTATAAGTGTGTCTTTTTTCTGGTGTGTATTGGAACATGCATATATTCCTTACCTCTCGCACTACCTTCTCCACGTGGAAGATCAGTGTGTTTCTAAGGCATGCATGTACCTTGCTGAGTTTTTGAGAGAACAGTCACTGTTAGCTTGTGCACTCCAGGTGTTTTTTTCTTTGGTCAGATGGTCTCGCAAAATCCAAGGAGAAGATCTCCGTCTGGGATATGAACATCAAGTCCTCGACGCCTCCGCCATGTGTTCTTCCCCTCGCTCTAGTCCCACTAGTGCCACGGTGTGGAGGGGAGAATGGACGAAATGGTCAAGAAACCTGAGAATCCGGGCCCGAACCAACCACGTATAGGGTTTGCTTTGGGCCCGGACCCCTGCGTTTCGGTGTCGGGTCCGACCCCTGCCATGGAGGGCCCATAGGGATTCTGAGGCTGGAGTGTCAGGCATAGGTGGAGTTGGAGTGTCAGGCATAGGTGGAGTTGGAGAGGGCTCAGGTGGGGTCATTTGCACTTGTTCCTAATAGCTTATTGTTTCTAATAGCAAACATTGTTACTACTAGTAAGGCACTTGTTACGAACGTAGCGATGCACTTGTTACTACGTTCGCTTCTTGTTACTGTTGTCCGATGCCAAGTGAGCCGAGTTCCAGAACATTCCAGAACCAGATCCAGATCGAAGATGGAGGGGTTGGAGAATGGTTTCCGGGTAACCCCCACAGGGCGGTGTTTACGAAGAACAAAGGCTCTGAAATAGGTTTTAACGGGGTGTCCCAAAGAATGATTTGGGATAAACTCGGCGGGGATGTTCATGGGGTGTTGGAAATGCTGGTGTTGTTTGGTGTTGCATCACGCATCCAGGTTACTTCTTCTCGGCAGAGAATGGTTTGTACTTGTCATGTAGAAAGTAGATCTACAGAGATAGCTGATGTGTGTGTGTGTGTGTTTGCACGTATGCGTGTGCGCATATGGCATTGATCAATTAGATTGTTGATGTGGTTTACTGTCACACTGCTTTGGAACAACTGCAGTAACTATATTGACACATATATATATATATTATATCATATATTGTACAAGCCATGCGTACATTTATTCTATTGGTGATGAAGGCACAATGACATGCCATAGCCATAGCCTGTGAATGATTCACATCTTTAGTCTCTACTCATGAGCTGCGTGGAATCAGTTGTTGACGGCTGGGCGTTGACGGTTGGGCGTTGACGGCTGTAATCCATAGGTTGTCCATAGCTACCTGGGATCTCCTTCTTCAAACAGGGTCCCAAGGGCAGAGAGACAGCAGGAAGAAGCTTTGTTATACTTGTCAACAAGCTTTGCATATATATATATATCAACAGCTATGTATCAACCCGTGTTGAACCCTGTTGAGCCCAGCAAGAAAACGTTCTCCATGGAGCCTTTGCTCTCCACTGAGGGTGGAATTAGGTCCGATCATACCCCCCCCCCCGCTCACCGCCTCGCTTTGTCCGAGGTGCCTGATGAGCCGGACATATCGAAGCTGGGACTTGAGACCATGCGCTTGGTTCCAGCGCGTTTGGGTTTGCACTGCCCTTTTAGTGGCCATGATGTCCAATGCTTTTTATGTGGATTCTGGTCGTAGCTGGCGAATTCGACCACGTGGGGCTACCAGAAATGGATGGAGAATCATTATAATCATTGGCAGACCACACAGACGCAGGTATCAACTTGTCAGATCAACCTGCCAAGGTGAAGATCCTGTGGGGATGTGTCTCTTCAGTTTTTGTTTGGATTTGGTTTTGGCTTCATGTTTTAAAGTCACACAAAGTGATGATATAGAATGATGATATATGTTCACCGGTAGCATCAAGAATGTTGATCAGTTGGGTGATTGAAGATCCAAAGAGAGGTCACTCAGGGCCTAGGTATCTATCACAGTATCTTATATCATATAGTATCATTATGTAATATAATACATATCTTACCACACATGACACTATACAGTAATACATTGTATGGTTTTGCATATTGTATTATATTCAATCAACCGTCAAGAGTTCATGACCGCTGCTGCATGCTGTAGCAGCTCACCGAGGACCGCCACGGTGGATCCATGGAGCGGACACTGGGCAGATCCGGGGGGTCGTGAAGGACTCCCGTCGCATCCAAGAACGACTGGCCAAGACGCATGCGAAATACGATTAATTTATATATACTCATATATATATTTATGCTTATATACTCATATATATATATATTATATACTATGTTTATATTTATATATATATATATTATATAATTCTCATGGCTTCGGGTCTGACCCACTAACATGCTCTTGCTTGTTGTCACATGTTGTCACCATGAAGACCTTGTTGAGGTGAAATACCTTAAGCCTGGAACGCCTTACACTTTTACCACTCACATGGAAGTGGATGGCATAGGTCCTGGGGAGACGATGTGGCTATATGAACCGTGGGTTTTCCATGGAACGTGAGGTGGGAGTGTAGAAAACTGGCCATTCTATGTGGCGACCGGGGTGTTTTTTTAGCTCGGAAAGAAAGTAGTTGCTGCGAAGAGAATGTGGAGCAAGTATCTGAAATAGAATTGGTTTGGGGCCGATCAACTGAAATATAACAATCTATGTTACTATAGTAGCCTTTTCAGTTGGAAATTAAGAAGGTACTGTAAAAGAAGAAACAAAACATATCATCATCATCCCTTCAGTTTGCTTGTTTTGGCATGCATGTCCCAGGCACGCGATTCTATTGTTCTCACCGATGTTCGCGCCAAGGAAGCTGGGGTGAGAGTGAGTCAGCAGAAGCTCGTGTTGTTCAGTCATCCCCCGCCATGCACCCACCATCTTCACAGAGTTCACAAGTGCCATGGGCAATTTCGAGCACTTCACTCCAAGCTGGCACAACACCTCAAGACCAATTTGCGCAGCCAATGCAACATATTGGAGTTACAAACGCTGCTACAGGATCTTCTTGGGGCGACTACGCGAGGAGTTCCTACAAGCAAGAGGTAACTCAAGTGCAGTCCATAGCACAAGCACCATCCCATCAGTCCTGGACGGCTTACACTTCATTCCAAGCCCCAGCACTTTCTGCTACTGAAACATCGCAACTGTTTGTTGAGATGCCGAAGTTGGCATCTCACCAAAAGCCGCCGCAGCCAATGCAACAACTTCCCGTTGCACATGGGCCTTCAGCCACACAATTTTCCCAACCCCAGTGGAGCAATAGCACAACAGACTGCGCCCCTGCAAGATCTTCTTCGGACGACTACGCGAGGAGTTCCTACCAGCAAGAGGTAACTCAAGTGCAGTCCGTAGCACAAGCACCATCCCATCAGTCCTGGACGGCTTACACTTCATTCCAATCCCTGGCACTTTCTGCTACAGAAACATCGCAACTGTTTGTTGAGATACCGAAGTTGGCATCTCACCAACAGCCGCCGCAGCCAATGCAACAACTTCCCGTTGCACATGGGCCCTCAGCCACACAATTTTCCCAACTACAGTGGAGCAATAGCACAACCGACTGCGCCCCTGCAAGAGCTTCTTGGGACGACTATGCAAGGGATGCATCCAAGCAAGAATCAAGATCCCCGCAGATGACATTGCCAACTTCAGTACCATCCATATCACAACATGCGTCATGCCAACAGTCCTGGGGAGATCACATCTCAATTCAAGCCCCAGCTGTCTCTGCAGAAACATCACAACCACAGCAGTCCTGTACTGTAAACAGTTCATCCGAGAGGCAGGCATTTTTCCGGAATGAGATACATGGCCATGGTTTGGAGTGGTCGGCATCCCAATCGTTCAGAGAGATGCCAAGGGTATCCCACCAAAGTTTGTCTGTGGATATGGCAGCTTCATCCGCTGAGTCAGTTCGCATTCCAGTGGAGCGACAGCACAATGCATCTTCTTGGGATGAGAGAAGCAACTGAAGAGCGTCTCCAGCTTGTCATCAAAGACTTGATCCTTGGAGGCAAGAGGACGTCTCCAGCTTTCCACAGCTGGAGGAGGTAGCAGTACTCTTTTTGTAACTTTATCGTCATTTTGAGAGTGCAACTTTCAATTAAGAAGAAGGATAAACCAAGCTTACAACAAGTGGTTCCTATTTTGTTGGGCAGTTGTTCTTGCTGAAGCAGGGGCCACAGACCACCGCCATGTTTTTTTCACAAGAACCCATCCTCATTGGGTGCGATAGATGCTAGATGCTGGGACACACCACCTGAAGAAGGAGGCTTGGACCAGTTTCATCAAGCACCCACCTATCAACCTATCAACCATATCCATCATCACTCGCAGTTCCACACTAGACCTGTGTTGCTCTGCTAGGCAAGGGATGCGTCCATCATGTCACGGAGAAACCCAGGCGTTCACAATTACATGTATAGGGTGTGACGTGGTGTGACTTAAAAGACTCGGAAAACATATTGTAAAAAACAGAGATGTCATTTCCCTGTTGGCTGCTTGAAAGCCAACTCACATTCAACCAGTACAATCAACATGACGATGTTGACGATGATGATCATGATAATGATGAGACTGATGAAGACTACTGATGATGATGATGATGATGATGATGATGATGATGATGATGATGATGATGACGAGGACGACGAGGACGACGAGGACGACGAGGACGAGGATGATGATGAGGAGGAGGAGGACGACGACGACGGAGATGATGGCGATGATGATGATGATGATGATGATGACGACGTTGGGTGAGAATGAGGGCAAGCGGATGTCATTTGTACCCAGAATCGTTTGGTCTTAGCTTCGCGCGTTTGAAAAGCCTTCGGCTTGCGCCCCCAAAAATAACACGCCTTTCGTGCGGCCCAGGTGAGCGCTGTGGGACCTGCGAGCCAAAAAGAGAAGCGGATCATAGCGGATCCAGGAGGCTCTTGTGTTGGTAGGTCAGGCACGGGTTGCCTTTTTTGGGATCCTGTTGACGAATTAAATCACTTCACCAATTCTCAGTCGGTGGCGAATTCTTTGACCCGTGTCTTCGGCTCCAAACCGTTCTCAACCGCCACGATGGACGACGCCTCCACAGCCATTGGCTCAACGGCGAAAACACCAAACCGTGGCCGCGTGGCCTTCTGGGCAATGGAGCGACGGAGCCGATCTGCGGGCTGGCCCAGCTGCTCGGCGCTCAGATGTGGGGCGTTCGGTCGCCGTGTGCGGTTTGGCCGGAGATATTGGGATGTAGTGAAATAGAGGGGAGAAAGGTATGAACAAATAAAGGCCCCGAACGGATGATTATTTTCATACATTTTCCGTTTGCTGCAGGTGTGGGCCTTTGTGGTGTTCTCCTTCTAGGCGCCTACCATGGGATTGGCTCCTTGGCTGCGCCGGACGCCTGACATCCGCCGGGCGCCTGACGGACGATGTGTGACTGAACTGGAGGATTTGGAGAAGGTGGCAGAATGTCATTCGTAGGCAGCACCACCCAGGTCGGGTTTATAGAACCCCCCTGACTATGTCGTTGTCCATCCAATAACCACCCTGGTCGGGTGGTGCTGGGGATATCCTTTGACGCCCTTGGTGGATTAATACAGGGGATACAGGTCTATCGCACCAAGCTGACCCCTCTATGATTCCTAAAAGGACAGTTTTCACAGACGATCCTTGATGGGTCACATGGGGTGTTCCCTGTTCGGCAGAGACATCTCACCCAGCGGCTCCCAGCCGGCCAGGAAAGTAGACATTGAACATCTCAGGGGCTCAGGCTGCGCTGACATGACAACACATCGTTTCGAGGTGAGTCTTTAAGACTCGCTTTGAGAATCCCTCGGGCCGACTCCGAAGGCCGTGAGACGGCCATGTCCGAATCTCCCACGCAGTTCACATGAGCGCCGGTCGTCCAGCCACCCAAAAGGGACTGATCAGGAAATGTTGGAATGGCAAGATATGTCGATTGCCTCTGATACTGTAGAAGATGTTTGCTGCTGCAGGCCCGTTTGATGTTCGATTAATTTTCCGGAAGCACTAATTGCAGTTCATGATTCATAACTAATGTATACCAAAGCATACCAAAACTGCCGTTTCGTTCTTCTCACCTTCCGGATTTCAGAGGATTAACACCATCAGATCTTTATAGGAACAGATTCGCATTAATGATTCATGCAAATGCTGTTCCTATATAAAGATCTAATGGTGTCTCTCATCCCTCCCAAAAGACGTGTGTGAAAAACGTGGTGTTGCTTTGTCCTTAACTACCGGGTCTTCCTGTCTTTCTTCCTGTCTTTCCATCGGAAGACTGTCTATTCCCTCCAGACACGACCTGTTTGGGACTGGTATATATATATATATATTAATATATACCTGGACCCTCCAAGGGGTGTCTAATGGACTACCCCACACTACCTAGAGGCTTCCATTGGGCACCCCTTGGAGGGTCCTGGTATATTTCAATTTATTCCATACATGGAGTGTTTGGGTCCCATCTCATCTCCATCGGTTCCCCATCCCCCCAGCCGCCTCGAGGCTTTACCGGGTCCAGCTTCGGGTGCGGTGTCCAACCGGTTGCCCGGTGTGTCGGGCGGTGGACGCTGCGGGACCGTCCAAACTTGGTTCAAAAGAGATAGAGTAGTCAGATAGTTCATCTTCAGCTCATCATGGTCCATTTAAGGTTCCATGCCGGGTTCAGAGACATGCGTCTTGACACATGCGGGTGTGTATTGGCCTTTCTGGGGCCTAGGGTTCTAGACCGCGTCAAGACAGCTGATGAAAGGACCTACGCTCTTCGCGGGCTATGGGTTTCCCTTTCAGGTTTGGTTCCGAGGGGTGGTCGATGAGATGTTTTCTTTACAGAGTATATGTGGTCCATATTAAACCACCTCTCGGGGATTGTGCAATCTACTCTCCATAGTACTAGATCTAGATCTAGATTGGAAAGATTCGTGCATTTAGATGTTTGTTGTTCGATGTTGTGTTCATGCAAGTTCCTCGAGGCCTTTTGTTCACCAAACATGCCCTGGTCGTCTGTGGTCGTTTGATTGATTCTGCCTGCTGCATGCAGGCAGAGACAGACCTTGAGAAGCGAGTCACCCAGAGGCCGAAAGAAAAGGATCGTGTGGTCGCCGACGAGCTCCATGGACATGGGACGGGGATGGACTGTGTTCATTGGGGTGGTGGATTTCGGGGGTCGGTCCATGGTCGGTCAAACATGCGTTCGGGCGGAGTGTTTGGAATGGGCAGGGCCATGCCAGACAGACTTTGCGTCTCGATCCGCTTGTTTGAGGTTTGTCTCCTCAAAGCGAGTGACCACAGACTCTGTTGATCTCTGTTGTTTGTTGGACTGAGCCAGCATGACCCAGGGCGGGTGGTTTACAGAACCCCCCTGACATGCCCTGACCATGTCGTTTTCCATCCAAAAAGTATCTTGGAATATCTTTCAAAATATGGCTTAATAGAGCCTCCAAGTAGGTTGGAGGCCATCGCTCTTAGAAACAAAAAATGGTGTTTGCAGATGCTTGGACGTTGTTTGTCACGGACTCTGCCGCGAGGTGTGTCCACCATCGACAGCCCTCCGGAGGTTGACACAAAGCTGTATGATGTCTTGGGTGTGGGCAAAGATGCCACAGTGGCAGACATCAAAAAGGCACCGACAGTGGGAAAGACTGGCAGCCAACTCGGAATGAGTGTAATTATGTGAGTGTGTATTGACATAGGGTAAATGGAGCTTCCTTCTTTGGTCGAACTCTCCAATTTCTCTAGGTTCCCGGATCCATCTTGCAAGTAGGGCTTTCAACAGCCTGATGGACAAAGAGGAGAATTTCATAAAATTCATAGGAATTCCTAGGATACCATCAGTGATACCCCCAAGTTCCTGCTCCCTAAACACGTAACTACTCACATACCTGTGTCACAACCTGTGCAGACCGCATTCCTCCCTGCGCTGCCTGCCTGCCATCGTTCAGGCCTACTACCGGAATGCCAGGGATTGCCACCCGGACAAGCATCCTGGCAACGAGGTCATGCGAGCGAAGTTCCAGGAGGTGGGGCCAGCGAGCGAGGGTGGCCTGCGACGGACCCGGGCGGAACGGAGCCACCGGGGGAGACCCGAGGACCAGTGGAACCCCCGCATTCATTAGTAAATAGGCAGGACGTGCTTATTGGAGGAATTCCGGGTCTCCGGCGAGACTGGGTCAAATGGTTGGAGAACGGGACATCAAGCGGGTGATTGGTTTTCTCACGACCAGTTGCAGTGCCCTCTTAGTCGATCGCCGACCGTGTTGGCCAATGGAAATGGTGATTGACAAAATTTGATAACCACGTCTTGCGCACAATGTTGAAACGCCAAGCAACACGCCACGTCTTGCGCAACTGAAGCAGATAGACCAACCAGCAGGTTCGGCAACCACGCTTTCCGGGCGCCCGTTTGGTGAGGCATTCACTGGCCCCACACTGCGGCATTTCTTGAAGCCAGTTCTGGCTTTTGTTTTTGGACCAATCCTTTCAGGTGAAGCCAAAATTGGCTTCAATTGTCAATATATTAAAAGTGTCGCTTTGCTGGCTCGCGCCACCTTGCGGCCGTCGCACAGCAGTCAAGCCAATTGCAGTGTGATCAATTAGATTTAGGCCTGGAGCGCAATCAACTCCAGAAGTGACTACAGTTGCGCACATGTTTACTGCAATCTGCAGTGCGCCACATCCGCCCCTGCAACCTCACACATGAACCGTTGCAACTAGAAAGCTGCGTCTTTTTGCGAAACCACCTTTAGATGTAGAAAAGAAGATGTGTTTGCCGATGCGTTGCGAGTGTAGAGCATCGACAGGTCCGATAACGGAAGTTCCGATTGTCATGGACGCATCCTCTCATCGTACTCCATCGCTTTCCTTTTACCATCACTTCCCCAACAACCACAATAGCCTACACCAGGAGTTGAACATGACAAGCACAAGAAAGCCACTAGTAGCTCCTGGCATCGCT